TGTTGAATCTTAGAGGTATTCTATAATCTCACTATGCTTTTTGGTAGAAGAATTACAAGAGGTCACTATGAAGAGAAGAGTCTCTTTTGCATCAGAAGCATTTCAAAATGAGCATACTTTCCTCTACCACTCCTCCACTTTCTGTGTACTTAAGTGTTTTTCTGTGTGTGCTTGGGCTGGAATCCAAATACAATGCTGGTTTCATGGGACACGAAAGCATTCCAAAGGCTAGATACTTAAATTATCAAATATTCCTTCTGTGGTGTTTGCTTTTTAAATGGCCAACCGCAATATTTATAGAGGGAAAAACATTAACACAGTTACTAGTGATAAAGAGGAAAATAGTTTGTTGGCATTTTTAAGTAAAATATCACACATATGCATATATTTATTTTATTTATTTAGGAAGCTTCTATGCCGCCCCATTCACCGAAGCCTCGGGGCGGCTCACAAATATACCACCCCACACACATGCACGTGTACGCACACACGTCTGTTCAGTCACAGGCAAATGAAAGTCTGGAAAAGAAATGGTCTAGAACCTGGGGGGCAGAGGTGGAGAATTCATTTGCAGAATAAGGTATATTCTCATGGTTACACAAGGAAGACATTTACAGCATACAGTGCTTTTGCAGATAATTCCATTACTTTTTCTTACTGTACTTTTCTTCCATTACTTTTTCTTACTGTATTTATTTGTGTAAGATGCCTGTACAATGAGTTCTCCAGGCAGCATACCATTTAAAAATCTGATACCGTACAAAGATGTAAGAATGCACTAGAAAAAACGACACATTAAAAAGAAAGAAGCACTGCTTCCCATCTCCGTAGGGTGCTCTGTGCTACTTGCCTAGTTGTGGTTGCTCTGGCCAACACAGCACTCATTGGTGGTCAAGCCTACAATGCCGGCGTCTCATTGCCTTGTGACTTTTGGGAACGAGGCACATTGAAAGACTGCATAATAATGCGGATCACCACATCTGTTTCGCATAAACAGTATGAAAGAGCAACCTATTTCTTTCCTTTTTGGAACCTGGACAAAATCTGTGAATGCTTTTTAGACCTATCTTGCTTGAAACCATTTGCAATTCATTCATCTCAGTGTATCTTTTGGCACCTAAACCTTCTATATGGAGAACCATACATGTACTTTTGCATTTTCTTTTCCAAGATAGGCTGAGTGTTTTAGATAAATACATAGAAAGGTCTTAGATGTAGTCAGTGTTTGGTACTTAAGAACACACAGACTTTAATAAAAAAATTGTCTGCCCTAAGCTTCCTTTTAAGAATCCCACTACTCCAGATCAAGATGAAGTTTCAGTATTGAAAGTCAGAAGCAGGAAGAGGAAGCCCAATCTTGATTCATACAGTATTATTCAAGTTTTCTTCCAAAACAGCTCATGTTTAGAGCAGATTGATCTATTTTATCTGCCACTGGGGAAAGTATCACACAGAGGTGGTTTATCGGCATACTCAGTTTTGCAGAAAGATGAAAAAGAAGTTGGGAATGAGAAATTATCAGCATCTGCATGGCTGCTCAGATCCACATACCACTTGTACCGTGACCACAACTGTCTCACCACAGCTGCTAGTTTTTCAAAAAAAGTTGGAACTGGAAAAGGATGTTTTTAAAGCAACCATCAATCTTGCTCATTTGCAGCTGTCTGCATCCAGATAACAGCTTTCCTCTTCCTTAGTGGCAGTAATATTGACCTGAGTGCAAAAGAAATATCTCTAGGAGGGGTACCAAACATTGTGATTACCTAGCAATTTAGAGAAACAATATAGCCTTGAAACTTGTAACACCTTCACAAGTACTTTTCACTTCAAGTTTTAGGTATGAGTATGAGCTCTAGGTAATGGTAATTTCTGTTGCTCTGTTGTACCGGTAAATTCACAAGCAAGGCACTGTGGTAATACAACCATTGCAAATAGTGCTATATTCCTATTTCAGGACTATTTATGATGAAAGACACAAGGGTGTCTCCCAAGAGTGGTCCTACAGTAAGTATGAATGAGGATGCTGTCTCAAGTGGCAGATTTCAGACACTGTTATTAGTTATTAGATTACATTATAAGCTATTAATGGTTTACTGCTGAGACTATGATTATTTTGGTTTTTCCATTTCCTGATCCAACATATTGTGAGCTAGCTTTGCTAGAAATAACTTGACTGAATTAACATATTGTGATACTTACTCATAAATACTTTCAAGCAAGCCAATTTTCCCCCTTAACTTTTGTAGGATTAAACTGAATTTTAAATAGCACTCTCAGCTTAATTGGGGTTCAGTTTTACTTTGTGTTCTGCTTTCAATGTAAGATGTTTTTGTCTAAAACAAAATCAAACAAATCGTCGCATTCTCAACCTCTCTTCTTTTTGAGTGAGCCACTTTTTCTGTTTCATGTTCCAAAAATACTTAACTTCAGCACTGTATTTTTCTAGGGTGGAGCAACTACTGGCATTGCAACAGATGACAGATTTGGAAAGAATAACTTTGTCACCTTATTTTTAAGCAATTCTAACATCAACCTTAGAATAAGGAATCCATCAAAGCAAAGACCACCAGAAAATGAGAGAGAAATTAAGTGCCAACTATTCCCAACACATACACATATCTCCACCAAAGAACCATGGCTTATTTCTCTATGCCTCCCCTCCATAAATGCCTTAACTCTTTGATTGGGCTTGAAAAGCATGTCACTCAGGAAATGTTGTGGCATGTGAAAATTGTAAGCATGTATTATATGAGGATCGAACAACCTTAAACAAATCTTCAAGTCTCATACAACCCATATTCATTAGGTTTGTACAACGTAACAACCTCCAAGCTGCATATGTTGCAATTTCACCATGCATTATAACCCACAGTGGGCTGTCGTGTCATGCAAACAGACCTCTTCCCTATAAGATACATCTGGAAAATCCAAATATTTGTCTTTCTTTTGGATTCAACAGAGATTAGCAGATTTCTCCAGTTACTACAGAATACAGATCTCACAAAATTCCCTGTCTCAGTAGTTCTGAATGTACTTGAGCTGTCAATCTTACATGGATGCTTATTTACATATTTATATTAATCTATGCAGCCTAGTAAATGTGATGAAATCACATGCTTCAAGAAAGTCTTTGCATGATCCCAGGCAAATCCTTAAAAACAACAACAACAACAACACAAGACTACCTGGGAAAGAGAGATAGTGCTGAAATGGAAACACAGAGGGGAAACATCAGCAGTGATCAGAAAAGAAAGTGATCACTCACATCTAATAACCCCCAAACCACTACTTTCAACCTGAAAATCAAAACACATGAACATACATTCTATCCCTAGATTAGACATGCATTTATCAGTTACTTAATATGGATTCCACATAAATTAGTGAAGAAGCTGCAATCAGTATTAATTGTCCAAGATAAAACAAACTTCTCTTTCATATATTTTACTTGGATAACATGAAAAGTATGTAATATAGAATTAAATCAATGCTTTATCATTCCCATAAAGCAAAAAAAAAAAAAATCAATTAGTGTGGGACACTCAAGTTTTAATAAATTTCTATGGCAGTATCACAGAAGCTCACACTAAAACAAGCCTTTTTCAGATAAACTCTAGTATACATACTGTTTCAATCCTTTAGATTTAGATATCTGAACATCCCCAAAATTTAGGTTACTTGCCATAATTTTGTTTTGAAAACTCGACCTCCATTTTCCAGGATATGCAAAACATGTGTTTTCTGTGGAAGTGTATACATTCCTTAGAGAGATTGGACAGCGGGGGAGATAAAAGAGTAAGCGAACAATGTTTTTAAGTACTATATTACTATGTTGTAAATTATTTCAAAATGCTGCCATCAAAGTGTTTCACAGGAAGAACATTGTTTAAGCTTCAAATGTTACAGAGGAGTTCCTCATTGCAGCTGACAGCTGTTTAAGAAACTTAAAAGTAATGACTTCCTAAGCCTGAGGAATGTGTTCTGCTTATTTCCCTTATTCATAAGAGGAATTTGAAAAGTGTGTCCATGTTTGTATCAGGTGAACCAGAACTGCTTGTACATGGCACCAAGAGATGCATCATAGATTCAGTAAGACCTGCTGCCCGCTAAGGAGAACTAGATGTCTTATTTATTTATTTAAAACATTTATATGCCACCTATTGCACCACAGCATCTCTAGGCTACTTGTTAAGGGTCCCTTTCAGAAGCATGAAACACACACTATAACATTTTTGCTTGGAAGGATGATACAATATTCATCTATAACAGGTAGGCAGAGAAGACATCTTAGCCTCTGTCTCATATGCAGTAGGTCTGGTAAAAGAAAGCTGGACTCTCAGTGAAGCTACTGATCAAGGGATGGGATTGCTCTTTTTGTCGTGATTTGTTGTTCGAGCATTAAGCTGAAATCTAGAACTATAACTCTGGCATTTTCATGTTTGAGGTTCTAGGATGTAGAACAAGCTACGGGTGTAGGAAAAACTGTCTGTTTCCTACATTTTGGTAAAGCACCAGCTGCGGTGGGTAGCTTACTGCCCAACAGATACAATACCATCAAGATATTTTCCCTTTCGAGTTTTGCAGCAGAGTTCCATGTATTTAAAAAATGAGATTTTAGTTTTTTATGGTGAATGATGAGCACCAATACATGGCACAATGAAAATGTTTTCAAAAAGTTATCCTGTTGGAATTCAGGAAAACTAAAGGACTGAAGAAAACTAAAGGCTGATATAGTGTTCATGGATCAAATATATCTCAATCTGTAAGACAAACAGTGATGCAGTGGTCACTCTGCAGGTAAAGAATTTTCTGTTTTCAGCAATATTCTTTAAAATATTTAAAGAGCTGAGGCTCACTGACTACAAAGGAAATCAATCAGTTTTCAAGGCTTGGAATCAAGCATCCATACATACTGTATTGCAAACTGTATGAACAACACTGTAAAGACTTAAAAGGTATAGAGTATTAACACCAAACTTTAAGAAATGCACACAATACCATTTTGTATAAAATATATTTTAATCTTCCCTGCCCATTAGTTAACCTAAATATTTACACATTATGCTGAAGTATAGAAATGTATAGAGGAAAAAAATCAGCAAGTTTTTGAAGTGATAAAAACAAAGAATTTACTTCATAAACAAATGGCAGATATACAGTACACTTTGCTCATGGAAAATATCCCCCTATTAAATTGGGTTAGTTCTATAAAAGATTTGTTCCAAGAAATTAAATGATGCATGAATAGTCATATGGATTCTCCAAACATTCATTTTGGAAGAGCTGACAGCCCCTAATATGCATTAGGATGCTTGTCTTTTGAACACTCAACCAGCAAGAGAACAGGTAAGAGGGGCAGAGAAATACTTGTTTACTACCTTTCTTTATAGTAATATTTCTAAACATCACAAGAGTACCTCTTCAGTTTCAAGTTGCTGTCACCTACCTAAATGTTAGGACGACCTAACATACCCATTTGATTTCTTACTACCATAATGCATTCCATGGGAAGGATGATTCAACCAGTTCACCCAGGTTTCCACAGAATCAGAGTCAAACTGGATTCTTTCATCATTTTAGATTTCTGGAAATCAACTAATATTGCAAGATGGACACTTGTATGGATTGAAAGTAAGGCCTCAACCACAATTCCCCCCAAGGACTCTGCTGCCAAGGCTATTTTCTACAGCAAAGCTCAGTCCTCCACAGACTTTCTCATTCCTTGCTCAGCAAATGTATGGAGACAGGTAGGAATCACATTCAGCTAAACTTTATCACCAAGCTCTTACACAAGTTCATAAAAGCTTACATGATTTTGGTCTGTTTTCTTTTAGAAAAGAAGCAAGCTGAAACAGTCAGGCTGGAAAAAGTTATATCCACTGACAAATGTTCTATTATCTTCTAAGAACAAAACTTCCCCAAAAGAATACTCTTCTCACATCTGTTTAGGAACCACGTGTGTACAAAACAAAGCAAACCCATGCAGTAACTTTACTGAAAGATAAACCACACATCTCCTAGAAGTAGTAAGACATCTAGTGGCAAATTGAAGTAATCGGCAGGTCTGCACAACATGCTAAGCCACCCTGTAAATGAGTGATACAGCATGGGTTGTTTGCAGAACCCATGGTATGCTGGAAAGATGAGTGGGTTTACAGTGGTTTGTCCTTCCCCTCCTTCCCTATCAGTCCTCCAGCGAATTCCTCAGTGTCTTTTGTGACAGAATCTTGCCTCTCTCTCCCCAATCCAAGCTGCCACCATTTTTATTCTTTGGGGCCTCTTAGAAAGCGCAAGTGGAATTGTTATTGTTATTACGAGGTCCCTGAAAATTATGAAACAGTGTTTGTAATTTTATTACGATTATTTTTGGTCTTTTGCAAGTGCTCTTATAGCTGTCTCATCTGTACAGTCTTTCCTGGCCAATTTCTTGTATGCTCAAGAGAGTGGCAAAGTTGAGAAGGTAACATACCTGGAAATTTACATAATGCAACTACATATGGACTTGCTAGGGACAAACCAGGAAGCTGTCAATAGAAAAATATCAAAGAGAGAGGGGGCAAAAAAAGAAAGTGCACTAGAAGTGGGAGGACACGATACTTCTCCCTTGGCACTGCAATCCTCTGGCTCTTAAGTACTGAATGGACAGTTTGGTCTTTACCTTTCCAAGACTACCCAAAGACTCCAGCTAGTCCAGAACAGGAACATATTAACAGCCCTAGCTTTTTCCAGTTCCATTCTGGAGCATGTACTGTTGCAGACACTGCAATTCTCTACAAGTTTTTTAAAAAGCTACAGAAATACTCACAAATTTAATTGCTGGGAAGCAAACGGAGAAGAATTTGCCTACCTGCAGTAATTGCCTCATTACTTCAGGCAGGCAAATGTCTCATCCATGTACTGGCCTGCTGTTAAATTGGCACAAATTTCTCCTCCATTCATTTCCAAGCCATTAAATTTGCATATATTTTTCCTGCCAAAATATTCCTAACAGCTTAAATGAAAAACTACTGATGGAAGAACAGGATGGAGCGAATGGAATAAAAATACCAGTGGTAGTTGCACCTGCCCACTCTATGGGACCCTATCCATTCCAACCCATTCAGTCACACACACATTTGGTGCCCTTCCTTTTGCCATGTTTCCTCTCTTTTTAGGCATTTTTCAAGTGACTAACTCTGCAGCTGATCCCAGGTAACTGTACGCCAATTAACACATGTGGAGACTCATTTTGTCATTTTCCATGTATCTTATCTAGTCGTCTTCACTGCTCTGTTTGACTGTTAAAACAGACAAAAAGTTGACCAGTCATAAAACTGCACTTGTGAAAGACTGACCAATTTTTTTAAATGACATTTGCAAAGTTTTCTTGGGTGATTCTGTTTTAAATGGTTGTGCACATGTGACTCTCACTCCAAATACCACTTGGGCATCGGTGGAGGGGCTGTCATTGCTGGCGGCAAGGGCAACATTACAAGAAACAGCAGGTCTTGCTGAGGGGCTGGCTAGTTGATCCCTTCACCCAACAATGAAACTCATCTCCTTGGTTCAGATGATATGACTACCCATCTTGGAACAAGTAACCCCTAAAACAAACCCTGAGCTGCCAGACTGGTTTGTTCCCAAAAAAATAAACCACCCTGCCAGTACTGGTCTGAATTCACACAACAGCCCACTGTGGCTAGCTACCCACAGTGGGTTACCATGTCATGCAAACCAAGTAAAAACTCAGATACCTACTTTTCCTACAATTGTTTTCAAGCAAACTCTCTCAGGAATGCTTTGCCCATTATAATTTTAGCAATTCTACCTATATTCACTAGCAATGTAATCCATAATGTGCAAGAGGCAGTGTTGCCTCTTTTTTATCGCACTTAGAAGCTGTACGGATATGAAATGAGCATGTGCACAAATGCTGTGATGGCTTCACTAGTTACAATATGCAGCAGCCGCACAATTTAACACACATTATTCTAACTTATATTTCAGTGTTAAATTTTTGAGAAAAGTATTGCTTATATTTAAGTACAATTAAATAATAAATCATCATGTTCACATTGGTAGAAGAGTTCACCAGGATGTTCAGGGTTCAATAATGGTGACTGGCTTGCTCACATTCTGAGGAGGACACTTAGACTACACATGGATAGACTTTGCTCCTACAGTGAAGTATATCCATGCATCATCTAGTCATCATACACACGGACAGCAAAGAGGTAACCCATAGTGTGGATGATTCTAAAAGCTCTAGAAGTGAAACATTAGCCGCTAGATAGCAGCAATCCCACATACAATCCCCCTGAAATCCATTAAATTCAGAAGGACTTACTTCTATATAGAACTTGACTACAAAATAGTAAGGCCAGTAACATGTCATCCTAATACATTATTTTTCTCCAAGACTTCTGTATTAACCTTGCCTATTACTGTCAGCTGCAATTCCCATATTGCAGCACACAAGTGCTCAAGAGCTACTCCAATAGTGTGTGCGCACTTGTGAACATCTGCACACGTTTTAATACTGGTATCTTACACAAAAAATATTTCTCACCTTGCAGTTAAGAAAAAGAGCCCTAAATTTTTCCTTTACTGGTTTACTTTGTATTTTATACCTCAGTGTCTTTATTTTTGTATCAATCTTTAGCTTGTTTCCTTAAAGGAGTTCCAATTGAGTGATCAATGACAGTGTTTCACAGTTCCCTAGATTAACAAAATCTTTTCTAATGCTTCATGTTTCGAAACACTGAAAGCTGTCAACAATAGGAAAATGAAATATACCAAGTTTAGTTGTTTTAGCCCTTCCCTGGGACAGTTTCGTATTGTTGCAATGCCTTCTTTCCTAATCTACATAATGCATGACTGTTCAACAAGCTTCCATTACAAGCTTCTTGATCCAGCTTTTGTAGTCAAACAGTAGAATAAACTATCTCAAATACTAGTGCTCATTCAAGAATGGACATTTTGTAAGACTAGATCTGTTTAAGTACACTATGGTTTTCTGAAGCAGCACTAATAAATTAGGAACCTAACCAACAAACACACAAATAAATAGGTATTTCGAAGATTGGAACATTTCTGAAAATCATCTCTCTACCCATTTGTATGGTAACTTCTCCTTAAAGATTTTAGTAAAAATATAACCATATTTTAAGCATTCCAGTCAATGGATGTATCCATAACAAAATTGAGGTTCTCGGTCTTTAAAAAAATATTACAGCTTTTCAATATATGCAGCCAAAACAGTTTCTTTATGAAGAAAGGCAAACGTCTCTTAAAAATAGATATTTTAAATATAGATACTGTAGATATGAATTAAAGCCTTTAAAGGTACCAGTACAGTATTTGAGGATTAATTATTACTTTTTGTGCATTGAAGTAGATTATGCTCCCTCTCACTTGTATAAAGCTAAAGAGTCCACTGCATGTCACCGAGCTCTCCTGGGTCTCCCAGGCCCCCTTCAGCTTCCAAGTAATTCATTAAAGCTGCCATTGAAGTATCATTTTCACATACTGTATCAAAATCCAATTGAGAAGCATCACCTAAGGAAAAAGAATCAAGAAATGCCATCGCTTTACTCACAATAAAAATGCAGAATCCAACAGCACAATTCACTATTTATTTCAAAACTATTTAACTATTGCAACTGTTTATTTGTTACAGTGAACTTTATCTGGTGTTTGACCTTTACTTTCCTGTACATGGTATAAAAGGCAGGCAAAACTGGGATACCAATATAGGAAAAAATACAGTAAAGCCTTGGATTGTGAGTAACTTGTTCTGCGAGTGTTCCGCAAGATGAGCAAACATTTCTAATAATTTTTAACTTAATAAACGAGCGATGTCTTGCAATACGAGTAGTATGTGACACCAATTGTCACATGATCACAACTGAGCCAGTGGTTCTTCTCTCCCTCTCGCTGAGGTCCTACAACTCCCAGCATCCCTCCAGGAAGGAAGTGTATGCTGGGAAGTACAGAACTGTTTTTCTGTCTAAACATGCATAGGATTGTACTGGAAACAGCTTTAAGCTGACAGCATTTCCTTGTTGGTTACCGCAAGGCATACGCTCATTCTGAAGACAAAGGGGTTGGTTTTTTTTCTGGAGTTTTGGGTTTTTTAGTGCTGTACACTGACATTGACTAACTTAAATCAGGTTCTACTTAACTGTTCCAATGATTTGGTGTAGATTTGGTATTTTGTTGTGGAGATCTGTTTAAAAATCATGTCACATCTTAACTGTGGACTTCAAGGCTTGTGTGGGAAGAGTACATGGTGTGTTGCACTAAGTGGTTACAATCTTACACCTGCTTTACCTTTCATTATCTCTCCCCTCCCCCCCACCACCAAGGGGACACACTGAAAGGTAAAGCAGATGCAAGAGATTATGGAGGAGATCTTGTCTGCAGAAGAGGAGGAGAAAAAGGTGGAGGAATCCCTCACTTCAGTGAGATTAGGGAGATGTGTAAAATGTGGGAAACAGTGCAAAATTTTGTAGAAAAGCACCACCCAAATAAGGCTGCAGCAGTTTGAACAATGAATCCGTTTGACAACAATGCAATATCACATTTCCACGAAATCCTCAAAAGGAGGCAAAAGCAAATGTCATTGGATTGGTTCCTTGTTAAAATTGCACAAAAAGAAAAAGTTTCCATTGAGCCAATAGATAGCAGTGATTCCGTTAGTGATAGTGAAAGTTGTCCTACACAATAACCCTCCTCTCTCGTCTCCCTCACACCAGCCACAAAGGTTTTCAAAGATTCAGTGGTACCTCAGCTCACGAATGCCTCAGTTCACGACCAAATCGGGTCGTGAACAGAAATTTCATAAATTTTTTAACTCAGGTCGTGAATTCTGCATTGGGTGGTGACCGCGTTCATGGCCATTTCCCTCCCCCCACCCACCGAGTGGGGAGATGACCGCAATCATGCGAGGGCAGGAGGAAGATGGCCGAGTTTGCACCTGTCTTTCCTGCATGAGCACAACCGTGATCTCAGCCATCTCCCCCCTCAGCACAATTGCACCCGTCTCCACCCCCCACAAGTGCGCCCACATTCACACCCGTCTCTCCCCGCAGCGCGCCCACATTCGCGCCCGTCTTTCCCCCTTCCCCAGCACGCCCGGGATGACGGACGCGTGCAGGAATGACGGGCACAATTGTGGCCATGTTGGAAGAGCGGGGAGATGGCCGCACTCATGTTCGGGGTGGTGGTGGGGAGATGGCCGCGATCTTTGTTGCTCTGTCACTTTGCTTCACATGTTTTTGATTTAAATAAAAAATGGTTACAGAACGGATTAACCGTATTTACACTGAACCTTATGGGGAAATTTAACTTGGCTCACAACCAATTTGGGTCACGATCAGAGTCTTGGAATGGATTAAGTTCGTGAGCCAAGGTACCACTGTAAGTGCAGGTTAATTTGTTTTATTTTTCTTTATATTTTGTATTTTCTTTATTATTTTGTATTATATTACAGTATTGTAATCATTTTTATATGAATATTTTTGGGTTGTGGAACGAATCATCTGAGTTTCCATTATTTCTTATGGGGAAATTCATTTTGCTATACAAGTGCTTTGGATTACAAGCATGTTTCCAGAACGAATTATGCTCGCAAACCAAGAAACGTGAGCTTAAAAAGCATGGGTGTTCACAGAAGTAAGAGTAACACATCTTTACCATCTTAGCATAATGTGTGTACGTTAGTATATGCTTTCATATAGGTAGGACAGAGGTCTCACTGCAGTAGAATCCATCCAATCTATGTATACAAATTGGAAAGCTGAGGCCAGATAGCCACGTGATCCATACGTATTCCAGAATGGCTTTGCTAGGAGTAAGCAAGCATTCATGAATTGCTGGCCACACCATCTTAGTTATATTGAAAGTGGGTCATTTTTTAAGTGCACTGTTTAGACACGATCGAGAGAAGAATGATAGTAGGCACAAACTAGAGCTTCTCAGGATTTTAGTATCTCTCTTAGTCCAGTCAGAGTGCCTTCACATATTAGACCACTTTATTTACCAGTCTATTTTTTCATAAGCAAAGGGTTTCCAGCAATCTCAACTGGTAGGAACTGGTCTAATACTCAGTTATACAATCTACTTCTTCAGAGTCTATAAATATTTTTGCAGCAAGTTAAGAAGAAAGCTTACTGAGAAGAGGTTCACTGCTAGGGAATGAAGTAGTACCCTGATTTTGCCCTGAAGTTTCTAGATCGTCCATCCCTGAAGGACACAGCTGAATAAGTTCTTTATTTGGCACCTGAGAACACACAACAAGATAACACTTGCCAATGTTCAATAATATTACAGACATTTAAAATATCAATATTCATCACTATGGAAACATTTTAATGAGATGGCCTGATTGACAAGTAATGAATAAGTTACAAATGGCAACAATTCTGTAACTGCCCATTTGTTAATCGCTCAATTGCTCTCTGAAAGCAGATTTGGTCTTCACACTGACTAGACTTGAAGGCCACCATCCGATAAAGAATTAAATACCCTTAAAACAACTATAGGTGCGATCTTATGGCTCCTTAACATAGTCTATGAGGTCATAGGATCGTTTGGAGCCTCAACTCCAAGGCCCCATGACCTCAGAGCTGGGACTCCATAAAGGCCCCTCCCTACTCCCCTCACAGCTGGCATAGAAAGAACTGCATTGGCTGCCTGTCCAAGGTTGGAAGTCAGCCTTGGAGAAGAGGAAATGGGGTATCTTGGGTGGTAGGGATGCTGTGGCAATAGCTTCTGCCATATCTTAACCAGAGTCCAGCCTCCTTTCTTCCCATTCTGTGGTGCTTCATTGGGATGGGCAAAAATGGCATAAAGTGTAGGGTGCAAGGCAGGGGCAGAAGAAAATGTTCCCTTTCTGTGGTGCCTCACTCCATGCACTGGATGCACATGAGCCTCAGAGGGTTTTTTGCCTTCCTGATTTAATCTGATGTTCTTTAAAATATCCTTTAAAATGAGATCTCTTTCTTATGGACAATACTGGTGGAAGTTTATTTTTATTTATTTTTACCTTTATAAGCCACCAAACAGATCAAATGAGCTCCCCTGGCGGTGTGGTGAGGTTGGACTGCAATCCTATATTATACACAGTAACTCTGGAATAAGATTCACTGAAAAGATTAAGGCTTATTTCAAAGAAAGCCTACAGGATTCCCACAGTGCACATAAACCTTTGCACTAGACAGTTTTGTCACCTTTTCCCCAGTGTTGCACCTTCCTGCCTCGCTCTGCCTCAGTCCACCCTCAGTCTCATAAAAAAGTAGCAGCAAAGAACAATGAAATGCCTACGACTGAAAGGCAAAGTCTCAGAGTTACAGAGGCAACTACATCAGTTTGTTTTCAAGTGAAAATGAAATACACTTGATGGAAGCTTGCACATTTTCAAATTTCATTTACACAGCAAACTCACTTTACAATTAAAAATAAATATTGAGTTTTGCAATATATTAATTGCTGCTATTTGCAAACAACATGATTAAGTACAGAAATACTGCAATGATTACTCAGAGTTTCTCAATTAAGTAAGAACAGTCACCTTTACATGTCACACGCAGAAGGTGATCCTTTATGTAAAACAAGGGTTGGCCATACTGCTGTCCTTGTCATTGCATGGCCAACTGCTCCTACTCCTAACACCCTCATGCCTAAGAGGGGCATCTGAAGAGGAATCCTACACAGGAACAGCTGCTCACACACATGGGCTCCATGCCACTGGGCCCCCTGAATGAATAGGTCCCCGGTCGCATGGAGACCATGGTGCTCTTTGAACAGTTGCTCTCACATTAGGGGTTCCTTTTCAGATGTCCATGTGTTGGCTGGCCTCATAATGTTGCAGGCAAGATCAGTGGTGTAGCCATGAGTCTTGCTCTCTGCATTGACCTTCACATAATGTATGAAGAGGGCTAGTTATGAGATAGTGGCCTTTCTTGGTAGCTTCTGGTTTGTGGATACTCACATTACTGCAGTTTACTGTTAGAACTGGAGAAGAAGACTTTCTCATGAGGTCTGATGGACTCAACTCACCAAGAGGTGGAGAAGTATGTAACCTAGATAAAACAAAAGATCACATTTAATCCTTATCACAAAGCTTTCCATAATAATGTAGAATCTGGTGTCTAAAACAGGGCTTGATAAGAAGTATGTGTACATTTTGTAAGAGATGCATATTAAAAACATTAGCTTGCTTAGTGTTTACAACAAATAATAAGGAGTTATCATTACCTCTGTAAATCTAAGACTTCATTTGCAATTTCAGTTCCTATGCTTCCAGCCCCAAGTATTGTCCCTGTAGACATTCCTGGGACACCTAAAAATGGTGGCTTTGGAATATCTATGTTTTAAAGGAAAAAAGGAAAACAATGTTATATTCTATGTTTACATCTATTTTCTAGTTTAACTCTTGTCTTTTTCTAAAAATTAACAGGTACAATGTTTTATGTTTTCATTTTCCATCTCCTTTTATGTAATACAACGATCAAGTTGCATGCCAAAAGTACTGGAGGACTGTAAGAACTACAGGGTGAAAGGGAGAGGGGTTGCTTGTCCAGCATTACCCCGACAGAAACTTTCTACGAAGCAAAAGATCACCTTACTCCCAACCACTTCCCACAGGTAGCTGTTAACATTGGTGAGGTGGGTCAAGCCATACAATACTGCCACAGTAACAAAGAAACCCCACCTGTAGAGTGACCAACCTGGTGTCATTGGAAAGACAACAGAACTGGAGATTACTGTGAGCACTGAATGTGCTAACAGTACTACCAAAACTGGGGAAGACTAAAAAGTTATATTGGTAAGAAAAGGAGGATTTGTTCTTGTAACAGCTCATGGGGTTTTTCCACTGTAATTCCCACTACAAATAGAAATTGCTGGGTAACTCGTTGGTATTAAGAGATCAGAACAGAAACCAGATCAGAGCTAAGGGCAGTCAATCAGCTTTTAATATTATTGACAGCAGATTTTTAAATACATGGTTGTTAATATATTAAGATCTTTTATTTCAAGTTCAGAATAGAAATCTACCAAACAAGTACTTAGCTACCACTGCTTGTTAATTAACATTGTTCAGGAGATTAATAACTAGAGATCACTTAGAGATCAATGTCTCTCTAGTGGATCTTGAAGGAATAAAATGCAAGCTGATTCTCCATGAAATGTAAGCAGCTTGTATGTTTTAAAATTACCTTCATAAATAGATGGATGATTGATATAGACTGATTGCAATGCTAAGTGTAGGAAGAAGGAATACTGTTTCAGAAAAACTGTACAACTTTCTTGGTCTATAAAATATCTTTGTGTGTGTCATATTTATAAATATTGGTATGCTTACAGCAGGGATCCTCACACTTTTTGAACAGGGGGCTAGCTGAAAGGTGCCAGGGATGGGCAAGGGCCACCAAGGCAGTGAGGGTAGGGGGCATGGGCCGGGGGGGGGGGCACGCACGCACAGAAAGGCAGGGGCATGCATGCACAGAGATCCTTTTCTTTGAGCGAGTTCAAAAAGATCTCCTTGAGAGCAAGCTGGCACTTCACCATGAATGCGCAAGCGTGGCGAGCTATGGCGGGCCAGGGCAATGGGCATGGAGGGCCAGATCCAGCCTGCAGGCCATAGTTTGAGGACCCATGGCTTACAGCATTTGTTTTAGTGTGGACGAAGCAGCAACCTCATACTGTAACTAAGCAGATTTGTGTACCCCTACTACACACAGTAACATTTCTCTGAAGAAATGTTAATAAATGTTAAGTTTTCTGATTAGAAAGTGCACTTGCCTTCCGAAGACAGGGAACTGCATGGTAGTAACGCTTCTTCACCTGATTCATTATGACCTCTAAAAAGGAATCAACATTAAAAAATTACACTGAGACATTTCTCTGGACAAAAACAACTAGTGCATCCTTAAATTAAATTTGTAGAGTTGTAAGTGTGAGAGCGTAACAAAAATTAAAGGTCTTTTCACCTATTGCTGAAAGTGCATAAAATCCAAATAGGACTGCATGGGACTGTCAGAATGGGCTCATGTACATGTAGCAAATCATTTATGCACACATAATTTTACTTACACACACACACACTCCACCTCTGCATTCTGTATCAGCATCACCTAAATTTTCTATTTAAAGATTGTGATTTTTTAGGCCTAGGCATATTGGAGGGTATGACACCTGGGTATTGGAGGGTATGGATCAGGACAAGTGGGCAAATTCTATTTTCCCAATGGCCTGGTTTACACATCATCCTAACACATAGATTATTTAACACACGGTTTGTTGCCCTGCCCTTGGTTTGTCTAGCAGACAATCAAAACAAACCATGGCTTTCTCAATCCCTGGGTTGTTTTTCTTCCACCTTAACCAGCTGTCTCCTGGTATCCTTCTGTGATGCTTTAGTACTGACATGCAGAAAGGCTCATTTGTTTAAAACTTCTCTAGCCTGGTGGAACAGCACATGAATAATCCATGCTTCTGGATTTGCATGTAGTAACCACCCTTAGTTTCAACCAGATGTGAACAGAAGTAGCTCTTCAGATGTATTCAACTTCAATTCCCAACATTTGTAACCACTGACCATATTGACAGAGGCTTTCATGGGCTGCTAAGTGTTAACAAGAAAATGGATTTCTTGACTGTGCATTAAATAACTCATGATGAGCTGAACATGTGGCCAGAAGCAGGTCCCTGAGATCTCTTTCTGGTTTGTTAATAATTAACCAACTATTGTAGCTGCATTCACACATCTCTACAACCCAGATTTCAACAACACATGCCATGGGTGCTATTTGTGACAACCGGGGCCAGACAAGACAGTAAGACCCATGTCAAGAGATGAGTTTGGGTTGTTGCTGAAACATGTATATGATATTGTCTGCACCCAACTGCATTAACAAACCATGGTTTGTTAACCGCAAACAATCTATGAAGAGAATTTATGGTTTATTGTTTGATCGTGAACTGTGGGTTGCTGATGGCATATGAGTTTTTTCTCTATGTCCAATGTGTGAACAGGTCTCAAACCTAATGGGAATGATCAGATATTTATCCAACAAATCCAAGTTAACATCTGCAAGTGCAACGGAAAATGAGATTTATTTTAACAAAACCTAAAGTTCCTCACTATGTAACAGGAAAGCCTACAACTAGCTTAAAAGCAACAATCTACGGTTGGAGGTGATGATCACTAAATAAGGGAAGCAGAACAGAACAGCTCGTGTTCATACTGTATGATTAAAATTCAAAAGAAAACCATTTTTACATGAAGAGGTCACAAGTAATGAAAGAAAATTAATCTACTTAATTAACTTGGTAATATTTTAATATCTAGACTAAAACATGAAACCAGGCTATTTGTATAGCATTAGTAACTTACAAAACAACTGTATTGATTGAAACAATGTACTCCAGTTCTTTGGTCCATGGATTTATGAAACTAAACCACTGACTTTTTAGTGTGACAAAAGAGCCATCTTTTGCTTTGAATTTGTAGGAATTCGTAAATACTTTTTCTTTGCTCTGCAGCACTGGAAGAAAAAAACATTTTAATAAACAAAATCTAAATGTTAATTAAACATTTGTTTGTTTATATGGTAGCTGTATTATGCTAAGTCCTTTAAATTATTTTATTCATTCTATCACTCTTTGATACAGGTCACAGTGATTCAGGTTTAACAAATGGGAAGCAAAGATAAGAAACAATAATGTGCTCAAAGTGGAATTTATTTCCAAGGAGTGGACCTGAGTTCTGGAAATGTAAAGGACTTCATACAGCAGTGCAATCCCTGCCACAGAGGGAAAAGCTCTTATCTCAGATCAGCAGCTGAGTGGAAGCAACAGCTCTTCCCTGCAGGGCAGAAGGGAGCAGGGCCAGAACAGGAACCTGCTGAATAATTGAGTCCTGCTTTCTTCTGAGCTTTCTCCTGCAGGGGCTTGCTTTATTTACTTCTGGTTAGACACATCAAGGGTTGCCCTGTTTACTCGTTAGTAGATCTATTGCTCATGTTTCCATTTACAAATCGGTAAGAAAGGAATTTCCAAAGGACAGGAGTTTGTTTTTTCAGCCTTGACATCACTTGGAAAGCTTGTTCAAAATCTAATTCTGTGCTTGGGCCGAAAAAACATTCCTCACCCCTGTCAAACAGCATCTGCCACAAATTGCTGTTTGTCCAGCCTGGGAAACATCATGGCAGACTGTGTGTGCTCCATGTACAGGCACTCTGCTGCTTCCCTTTCCCAAACAAGAAAGAGCAGCAAGAAATTTCTTAACAGACCGTATTGCTCTGGTTGGAACACACACAGTGGAACATTGCTGTGATTTTATGTTTACAGTCACTCTCTGCAGCATTAACTCACTCCTGGAGACCAGCCTGGTTTCCAGACTAGACCACCTCATTTTTCCAGGCTGGACCATCTGGCACATCACATTTGTGATTTTATATTCTAAAGCATTCGTGTAAAGCTTTAGAATATAAGCTTTCACATAACATGTTTAGTGCTCCCCACCCCTCATTTCCCTGCATCAAAAGTTGATGTGAAAGGGGTGTGAGACTAAGTCCATACTTCTAAGGGAAAACAGAACTGAAGAGGCAAGGGAATACTCTACAGACATCTATTTCTGTTGTTGCTGACTAAATGTTGTGATCACAACCCCCAGAACCAGGTTCTGTGATGAGTTCCTAGTGATTTTTTTAATCGATCTCTGACATTCTCCCATAAAATGGTATTCAAGGAATCTTATCATCACAGAGAAGTAAAAACCTGGATTATAACAGTATTAAAATAAAAACATTAAAAACACAACCGTAAGAGAAAAGTGGGACCCAAACCAACAGGCCCATTATAGCTGAATAATGAGGGACAGCAGACAGGTGACCAAAGTAGTCCGCCTTGGCTGGGAGTTCTACAGACTGGAATCAACCACTGAGAAGCTCCTCTCTCATGCTGCCAGGAAGTACACCACTGATTGAGGCAGTACCAAAAGGAGGGCTTCTACTGACGTTCTTAAAAGCTGAACAGGCTGGTATAGAAGAAAGCAGTCTTTCAACTAGCCTGGCCTTGAGCCATATACATCCTGACCAGTGCTTTGAATTGTGCACAAATCAGACCAGTAGACAATGAAGGTTTTGTAACAAGGACATCTCATTCTCCTCCAACAGACCTCATTGAAAAGTCTAGCTGTGGCATTCCGGATCAGCTGAAATTTCTGAACAGTTTTCAAAGGTAGCCCTAGGAAGACCACCTACAGTGGTCCAAACAGATTTAACTTAGGCATGCATGATCTTGGCTATATCAGATAAATCTAGCAATGGGCACAGTGGGCGCACTAGCCAACTATACTCCAGGCCACTGCAGAAACCTGAACATTCATGCTCATGAGTGAACCCAGCAGCAAATCCAAGGCTTGAGCCTGAGCCTTCAAGAGGAGTATAACCCCATTCAGCATGGGTTGACTCCCTATTCCCTGATCTTCCTTTTGATTAACCAGGACCACCTCTATCTTTTCTGGATAAAGCTTCAATCTCTCAATTTCAAATTCCCAGTCAGGACTCTACCAGCAATAGAATACAGTTTATAACATTCATATAAGAATGTGCACAGACATATTCCATGATCCGAAACATTTTCAGTTCTAATAATGAAATCACACTAGAAGCTCATTAGACAGGTGCATTTGTCAATGCTATTTATATCCTGCCTTTCCAGCAGTAGATATCCAAGATGTCTTCAAACTTAAAATGTTCATTCAACAGTAATACGTAGTAAAAATCGACAAGAACTATTTTACTTTACCTGCTTTGTGTTTTTCAGTCAGATGGCTATGATCATCTTGGTGGAAGTACTCATAACAAGAAGTTCCTAAAAGCTCTTGTGGCAAATATCCCAAAATTGCGGTTGCACTATAAGGAAACATGAGCATATTGTATGTCTCAGAAATATTTAAGCAGCTCAGAAAACAAAATGTACACCCTAAGAAACATATGTTGATGAAAGAAAGAAAAAATTAACATACACCCAAAAGAGAACACCAAAAAGGTTACCTCCTATTTTTAAAGGAAAACAACACAGTTCCAAACTAAACCTCTATAAGCCTCAGAATCTTGTGTTTATTTTTAAATAATTGAAGTATTTTTTCCAGTACAAATGCTTCATGGTTTGCAACATCTTTTAAAAAGCTGTTGCAAACCGCATTTCAGTTCCCAACTACCTAACTAAATAATTCCTTTATCTGGGGAACCCCAAAATATTTTACAGCGCAAGGTTAACTTAATAGGCTTCCTGAAATATAAAGACATACATATTTATTATTCATAACCTAGACTAATTTAAGACTAAGAACTTTTGTCTTAAAATTAAAGAGACAAAGATGCCTACCGTTGATCTACAAAAACAAATTTTCCATCCATGGCAAAGCGTGTTACAAATTCTGTTGGCTTGACTTTTATCTCACTGCTTTTTTGTGGAACAGTATAAGGATGCAATCGGCCAATTGCAACAAGACAGTTAAAATTACTGTTGTCTTTTTCTGCATCATTCTCCTCTTCGACTCCCACCTCATTAGGAGGCCAGCTCTTCAGATATCCAGTGCAATGAACAGTACAGTACTTTTTATGATCTAATTTAGTCAAAACACAAAACAATTTTTCATTTTCTTCTCTGAAAACATCAAATAGTGTTACGATTTGTGTTTACCTAAAGGCATGAGTCTCACAAGTATATACATGGGAGTGTAGTGTTAATTTTGCTTTTAAACACTACTGAGGCTTAATTTACCCGTAAAGCACATTTCTCATGTTACAAAATTTTGTGAAGGCAAATCAGAGATACTGGCAACTTAATTGTGTCCTTACATAAAAGAAAATTAAACAATGTAATAATAAAGCTTGCTTTCCTGTACAAGAGTGTCTTGTTCGATTTCCAAGTGTGCTACAATTTATACTGGGTTAACCCCAATAGAAAAGGAAGGTTAATCCTAATCTGAATTTAAAATCCTACCTGATTAAAGATTGTATTTACAAGTGTGCATTTCGGTGATTTCACACAATTGATCTAGGACTGGATTGGACTACTTCAGATAACAGTTAAGGAATGGCATGGTAGAAGGTTTTCCCTTGAAATTAATTTTGTGCGCATATAAAACTATGATAGGAAAAGACCTGACTTTAACACTTCTTTAGGCTATGTTAATTTTTGGTCCTGTCCTCACCTAGAAGATCATTCGAGCATGCAGCCCCATGCCTGCACTTTCAACTGATACACAAGTCCAATTACAAGTCTACCAGTCAAGGCTACTGATTGTGTAGCTCAGTTCTAAGGCCTTGCCCATATGCAGCACATGGTGCACCTGCACTCAGTTGGTGAGGGACAGTAAGCATCACATCTCACACAATGTCAATGGGTCTGCCCTGCTTAGAATGTGAATCAGCTGAAGTGGGAGACGGGGTGCAGTGCAAGTCATGCAGCACAGAGTTAGATTACCTACAGAGCGTTGGATAATTTCTCAGACAAACAGGAAGGAGACTGTTTTACTATTCTACTCAGTCTGTTAACTTTCTTTTTCCACATTGTCTTTCAAGTACATAAACATAACCTAAATTATATCAGAATATTAGAGCATTACTGTAAAAATGTACACTAAATAATATTATCTAGAGCATGGGTTCTCATACTACGGTCCGGGGGCTGGATCCGGCCCGCCTCAGAGGTTTTCAACACACCGTGCCCGCGCGCCATGTGTATCTGCTGACGCTTGCCTCGCCCCCCGCGCAGGGAGGCAGCAGCTTGCTGGCGAGGATATCGTTGTGGACTCACTAGGAGAACACGATCTCCAAGCAAGCAAGCCGCTGCATCGCAGCACGTGCCTGCCCCCCGCCTGCCTCACCTCCCCTTGTCGCACCCGTGTGCCCCGCCCCCACGCCCCACCAGCACCTTTCTGGCTGCACCCAGCACCAGCACCTTTCAACTGGCCCCCTGGTGAAAAAGTCTGAATACCCTGATCTACAGTATACTGGAATTTTATTTATTTATTTATTTATTTATTTATTTATTTATTTATTTAAACATTTTTATGCCGCCCCATTCGCCGAAGCCTCGGGGCGGCTCACATCACTAACCTGGTTTGTCTGACACAACCCAACATGGGTAACTAACCATGATGGGTTATTGTGATCCAAATCCAAACTGCTTCCCACAAGATGGTTTGTTTGTTTTCCCTCCATACATGTATAGCTCAAAATCTAATATCTTTCAATAAACCCTTTCAGGTTTCAAGGAGCCTACATTTGTTTCACAATTTTAAGTCACTTGGTTCATTCCTATACATGCCTGAGAAGTAAACCTATTGAGCTCAATGAAATTTACTTCCAGGTAATAAGTACAGGATTGAAACCTTGCACTATACAATAGTAATTTCTTTGCATTACCATTTAACACAAGGTTTGAAATGGATTTTTCTTCCCTTATTTAAATAATACCTTTCTTTTTTGAATTTGGTAAGGACTCCTTTTCTTCTTTGACTGTATTTCTTGTATATTTTATTCGACAAAAAAATGAACGCCGAGCACCAGAATGCAGACGAGAGGATCCTGCTTGAAAATCCATGTGAACTTGCAAACCAGCTTTTCGTTTGATAAAAGCAGAACACACAAAAGCATGTTTGTTAGATGAACTATGAAGAATATTTTGCATCTACATGAATATGCTTTAAACATGCTTCTGGAATATTTTCACATTTTTCTTGACCTTTAGTTCATATAATTATCTAGAAATCACTGAATGATTAACATTTGAAAATGAAGGCACCTGATACATAGACTCAAGTGTGAACATTAGCAAGATATTTAACAAACTAGACATTATACATGATACAGCATTCAATCAGAGTTTAAGTTTAAACTCCATACAGTTTCCCGCTCTAATTTGGCAGTGGTATTGAAAGAGATTCTGACAATATTCATACAAAAACCAGCTGCAAATTACACAATATCAGTATGAGAGAAGTAAAATGTTGTTACATTAGGACTGGCACTTAACATTTCAGAGCAGATTCTTGGTACTGGGGCATGTTATCCCATGCTTGACTACACCCGGCCTTTTCTATTGACAAGATCTATTGAACACAAGAAAAATAAACTAGTATGCCTGATAAAAATGACATATAAGATCTTGGCACACATCTAACAGCTTAAACATTACTTTGCATTGTCTAAAACAGGTCTCTTTAAGATACCTTTCAGTTGCGTTAAAGTAACCCATAAGTACAAGCAAGCAAGCAGTCATGGTTTTATTCATACAAATCAAGGTTATGGAAATATTTCTCCATAGAAATGGAGACATCCAAGATGAAAGTAATAAAATCCAGGTATTTTTAGATGCACACTTACTTTTGGTATCGATTAGTTTTTCTCTTGGTGAAGCATCTGAAGATGAAAGTTGCTCTTTCACCTTGGCAACGTCCTTTGGATGAAGATAATCAAATAGACTTTGCCCAATCAAACTGGCCTAAAGGAGAACACCTTTATTAGCTTGTAAGATGTGCATCACAAATCTCATTCCCTCTCTCTCTCTCTTGCATACTCCCTCCCCCATATGTCTGCAGAGTATTTAAATTATTTCAATGAAATAACTTTTCAGTGCAGTTGCATCAGATATATTTGTTTTCAAATCTTACTTTATGAACTGGATGCTCTGGGAGCCCTCTTTAAAGGAGATAAAAAGAACATTTACCCGGAACAGGGCCTTCTCTGCGGTGACGCCCAGATTATGGAATGTGCTCCCTGGAGAGGTGCACCTGGCACTGAGTTTATATTCTTTTCGACGCCAGGTTAAAACCTTTTTATTTAATTGCTATTTTTAAAAACTAATATTTTATCGTTAACAGTCACTCTTTTTGTTTTTATATAATCTTTTATGGAATTTGTTATTGTTTTATTGTTTTTAATTGTATGTGTTGCGAGCCGTCCCAGGATGCCAAGGTATGTGGTGATGGCATACAAAAGTTTTAAATAAATAAATAAATAAATGCACATCAGATATTTTCATATTATAGTGGGCCACAGTGGCTACCAATTACTGAAGATCATGATCAGTGTATCCTTGAAATTCAAGAAGCAAACAATTAGCTGGTATCAGTGATAACGTATGCATAAAGACATGTGGTTTTGTTTCTGAGGGAAACTTGCACAGGTCAGACCTATCCCTGGCTACCAAACAGAACGAATGACAAGTGCCTGAAGAATTCCTTGCGCTATAGACAACAGTGGCAATGCATTATTTTATTCATTTTTATATTGCATTTATAGCCTGCCTTTTTCCAAGAAACTTTATGAAATTCTCCTCCGCTCCACAATTCCCGTGAGGTGGATCTGACTGAGAGTGACTGGTCCAGAGTCACCCAGTGAGCTTCATGGCTGATTTGAAGATTTGCGCCCGAGTCTCCTGTATTCCTGGTGCAACACACAAACCACTACCCCACACTGGCTTACACACTCATCTGTGAAATTCATATAAGTTATGAATATATAGCCCGGCCTTCCAAGTAACATTAGCTCCAAGGCAGGATACACTAAATGACACTGAACAGCACTCTGTGTGTGCAGTGCAAGATTAGCATGTGCAGCCAGGGGAGGCGCAATACTTCAAGGGACAGCAATCCTAACATTTTATAGCAGTGCATCTGTCTGCAGAGACTAAAAGAGGTCCTTGCCGTACCACCAATCATACATACTGTGAAACCCTTTGGGCAACACACTGTATTTTCTTTACAAATGTAATTTCTTTGCAAGCATAATTTCTACCTTAAATTCATGCTGAACTTCATTAAGCACAGAAAACAAAGTTGCAGAAATTAAGTGATTCAAAAGGCTGCTTCTAAGTGTTAATATGGGGATTTATAAATTCCACCCACAATGAACCCAGGAAGGCCAGGTAGGGTCACAGACCTCAGCACAGGTGTCAAAGTGATGTTTCACATGCCACGTTAGCAGCCCAGAAAGCAGAAAGGCACCATGGGAGGAGTCATTACCCCTCCCTGTTTTCAGACTAGGCATGATTATTCCTCAGGAGCAATCTGTAGCCAGCTTGATGGCTGAGTACACAGAATGAGGACAATTATACACAATCTAGAGGGCTTTCAAGCTTTGAAGGCATGTCAAAGGTGCAAATCCCTTAAAACAGTGGGGGAGGGAGCTTTCATGTGCATGAGGGAGCTCCAAAACAATTAAAGATAATCATGATAAATAAATTCAAGAATGGGCCTTTAGATCTGCTTGAGAAATTCTCCTCCCATTCTTATATATACACTGAATCTAAAATGGTTCCACTGAAACGTTTCCTCTGATATTCCATAACTATATCCCAGCTCTAACAAACTAGTTTCTTAAAAAAGAATGAATTCAGACGCAACACATTATCACCCACCGGATCATAATTGAGAATCTTGGAAACAGATTCTGAAACAAACAGGATTTTGCCTCTGTCACATCCAACCACAAAGAGAAACCCATCTGCGGCCTGCAAATTAAGAAAAAAAGAAGTCGAAACACAAGAAGTCAAAACCCTCATTAGTAAATATAGGCAACAAGAATAAAATTCAGCAAGTAGGAAGAAACTGTATAACAGGGACAAAATTTTAAATTTAGGATTAATAATTTATTTAAGTATATAAAGGTAAAGGCTTCCCCTTGACATTAAGTCCAGTCATGCCTGACTCTAGGGGGCGGTGCTCATCTCCGTTTCCTAGCTGAGGGAGCCAGCGTTTGTCCACAGACAGTCTCCGTAGTCATGTAGCCAGCATGACTAAACACCGAAGTGCACGGAACACAGTTACCTGCCCACTGAAGTGGTACCTTTTTATCTACTTGCATTTGCATGCTTTCAAACTGCTAGGTTGGCAGGAGCTGGGACGGAGCAACGGGAACTCACCCCGTTGTGCAGATGCGAACCGGCGACCTTTCGATCAACCAGCACAGCGGTTTAAACCACTGCGCCACCTGCAACATTAAATCACATCCCTTTGAGAGTTGTGGGTTTTATACTTTTTTTAAAGCCTGCTACAGCTTTGACAGGGAAGAGCTTTCTTCTATCACTGGAAGGCCCCTTCTGTCTGGGAAAAGGAATCTTTGAATCCAGTCCAGGAGTCTAAAAAATTTCACACCCTCTTCTGAACCTACTTGTTTAGTGAAAACATTTTCAGCAACCCATCTCAAGAAGTTAAAGGAATAGCAACTAAAAACATAGACTTTGATGTGGGAGTACTTCAGGTATTGAAAATCTTATTCAAAAATGTTTGTCTGAGATCTTCTCTAAATCAGGTTTAACCTAACCCTAAACCAATGGTTTTACTTGCTTAGTGAAAAATAACTTGATTACATTTCTTACCTAAGCAAAGCAAAAAGTTTAATCACCTGTTAAAAATCTAGATTACCCAAGAAAAGGATATACATTCAAGTGAAATTTATCACGTAAATACAGTGTTTTGAATGAGAAAAAATCAGAATTATATTGTATATTAGTAAGTTATATTGTATTTGTTTTTCTTGTTTTATACATCATGCTGAGTTCTCCTTCAGATGAAGGGTTAACACAGGGAAGGAGAATAATATGTTCACCAAAGACATCTTGCAATTCTCTTCCTCACTGCACTCTGCAGTATCATCTGCTCAGTGCAAAGGTTCCACAAACTGAGAAATGTGGCTAGCTTTCTACTGAAGTCTCACACACAAATGAAAGTCAGTGTGGGATAATTGTTAAGAGTGCAGGACTGGGACTCAGACAACCTGGGTTCTAGTCCCCGCTCAGCCATGGAGCTCACTGGGTGACTTTGGGCCAGTCAAGACTCTCAGCCCGCACAGCGTTGCTGTTTGAGGATAAGCTTGAGAGGAGGAGTACTATGTAAGGCACCTTGAGTTCCTTGAAAAGAAAAAGGGTGGGATATAAATATTTCAGTAAAGATAGGATACTAATTTTCCATGAGCCAGTCTGCATTTTGTATCACTCACCTCTCTGTCACCACACTTTTTTGCTTTGCCTTCTTTCTCTGGTATCATAGAATCACAGAATAGTAGCATTGGAAGGGGCCAGGAAGGCCATTGGGTCCAACCACCTGCTGTTGCAGGACACCAATTTACATCATCCCACTCAGATGGTTGTCCAGTTTCTTTTTGAATGTCTCTAGTGTGGCAGAGCCCACCACCTCTCTAGGCAGCTGGTTCCACTGTCGTATTGTTCTGACAGTGAGGAAGCTTTTCCTGGTGTCCATCCTGAATCTGGATTGTTGCAGCTTGAATTATTTCATATCCTTTAGGTACCTCTAGCCCAGAGGTCGGCAGCCCGCACTTCCGGAGCCGCACATGGCTCTTGAATCCCTCTGCCGCGGCTCTGTCGCTCAAAACACGCGCTGGCACAGCCGCCGATCTGTGACCGAGGCTCCAAGTTACAAAATACCAATAGGTGATGATGAGGCATCCACTCAGGAACTGCCCCTCTAGCTGGTTAAGTAAATTGCTAGGGTTCCTCTGCTATTGTGCAGGGAAAGAGTGGAACAAGCTTCCTGCAGGCTCTCATGGCTGCTGAAAAGATTCTCTTTGTCCAAATGTAATCTCCTTCATCTGAATGATAAAAGCTGCACTTGGGACCTGTCACAATTCACAGCACTTGACTGTTTATGTGCTAATCAGTCACTAAGCACACCTATATCTGAAACACACTGATTTACTGATCCCCCACCCACCCCAGGCCAACCATGGATAAATTGAAGAAAAGTCTCTGAAGAAAACTGAACGTTTAATGGTACGTGGGTAGATTCATTTGCTTTTACTGCTGACAAACTTATGGGGTTTGCTGTATAATGCAAGCAGCCCTTTAGCACTGACTTTGACTCTTCAGGAAGCTGTTCTCCTATTCAAACTATATGAAAGGAGTCCTACTAATTTATAATGTAAGATTAAAAATAACAGTTTTAATGACTGAGCAAGAGCTGCAGCTAAATCATAATGAAGATATACATAGCATTAAGGTAAAAAACGATATATGCAGCGCTATCTTCATTTTAGATGTCAAAAGGATTTTGCAGGTCTCGGTTTTTTCTTTTGTGTGGGAAACGGGTCCAAATGGCTCTTTGAGTGTCAAAGGTTGCCGACCCCTGCTCTAGCCTATAGGACAATAAGTACTACAAAAGGACATGAAAAATTAAATACTAATCCAACCTTATTTATGTATTTTTTACAAATATTTTTATCTTGCTCTTCAGCCTTCATAAAGTTAAAACCAGAAATGGCAATGAAGACAGTTTGCTTCTTCCTCTCCTGTTCACAGGGAAGTTGGTTTTATGGGCCTCTGCTGGAGGACGAGAGGTCCAATCCCAGCTTGCTCGACCAGAGGAGATAGAAGAAAAAATGATGGCAGTTCTGTCTCGTTGGGTGCACAGTGTACTAAAACACAGGGCAGGCATCTGAAAATCTATCACTGTTAGAAATACACTGCTTAAACTAAATATAAGAAACCTGAACGCCTTTTGAAGGAGAATATATTTTAGCAAGAATTGAACTTGCAGGATTGACAGAAGGAAAGTAGTGGTACAGTCTATCAACGCTGTAAAGGAATGAGTGAACTTTTGTCAGATAGACTTAATATTAGATAAAGCACCATCAGAGAACAGTTAAAAAGATGCCTTTATCCCAAGGGTTCCAAATAGTTCATTTCCTCATACCATGTTGATTAAATTTTCATTTATAAAGCATATACAATGGCTGCATTCACTCAAAACAAAATGGTTTTCATTCTAACAAATTGTTTACAGCATTTATTGACTTGAAAGAAGTTTTTCATTCTGTTTCAAGCAAATGATTGTAGGATAAATTCAAAAAGTATTCATGGACACAAGACTGCCGTTTCTTATTCATACTTTGTATGCTTAAACAAATCTTCAGATCTGTTGTGATCAACAGGACCAGTGATCAAATAAGATCACAACAAATTGGGATATAAAAGAGGGATGCCTTTTGAACCCATTTCTATCCAATTTAATTTTGAGATACTCTTCAACTTGATCTAAAGCAATTTCCATTGTGATATGCAAATATATCATCTTTAACCCGACTACAATTACAGGCCTTTTCATATTGCGATTTTAAAAATCTCACTGATAACTCAATTTTTAAAAATCTAGACTGTATATTTTAGAAGAAAATGATGTGATATGAGGAAGCTACTATTTAAGATCGTAACTTATCCCTAAACTTTCTTTATTTATTTTTCACTTACCTTAAGGATTAGGTGTTGGAGTTCATCATCTTGTAAAAATGAAGGCTTATATCGGACCTCTGAGTAAGAACTACTGGAACCTGCAAAATGAGATGTTACTTATGCAGTGGCCCTAATACAGAGCAAAAAATAAAGTTTTTCATACTCATTAATATACTAGAAGAAAAAGAACACCACACTAACATGGACATACTGTAGCTATCATTTTGAACTGGCATTGTTAGTTTGGCATGGAATTCTGCAACAATTTGAAGTGAAACAAAGAATACACATGTACACATACATACAGAGAACCAGCTAGTTACTGCAATTATCTAGGAAAAAGAGTTAGCGAAAATTCTGTTCCGCAGCCATGAATGGATTTTCTTCCAACAGACTGTTAAGGAGTCTGTTGCCCACCTATTCCAAAGTAAGTGGAAGATGGAACAATGTGTGGGAAAGGATAGGGCCGCTAAGGATAGATGAACTCCTTCACTACTTCCTTTGTAGACTTTATTCCAATTATAATCAATTGCAATTCTATCCTTGTTATAAAGGTAATCCGTCTTTAGACAGGCATAAGTTCTCTCAGTAAGTAAATTTCTTATATTTTCTGACGTTAGCTAAAGAATGTGTAGTACTTTAAATCAGAATGATCAACATCTATATTCCTAGCGATTACTAGATCATTAAGGCTACAATTGTATTTTTAAACATTATTTCATTTATATCCTGCCTTTCTTCCTCTTGCAAGAACCCCAAGGCAGTTTGCATGATCATTCTCCTTTCCATTTTATTATCCCATTTTACCATCTGAGTAGGCTAGGCTGGGAGTCAGCAGCTGACCCAAAGTCATCCCATGAGCTTCATGGACAAATGGGGACTTGACAGGCTCTCCCATGTGCCAATCCCAACAACCTCCTACACAAGCTTTTCCAGGAGTAAGTTCCATGGAACACAATGGGGCCTCTCCTAATTGGATATGCATAGCATTGTACTGTGGGTTGCCCATAACCCATCAAACTTGGAGGATTATGGGTATGCGGTGGAGGGTGCAAGGGCTACAGAGGCAAAGACCACAGCCATGTTTCTTCCACCCTGTAAAACCCTGAGCTGGCTTCAGCCAAGTAAGCATTTTACCTTGGAGCACAACAGGAGGTGGCTGAGGTATACTGAGGACACTGGTGGCATCTGTTTGAGGGTCTCCCTGTTCCCTCAAGCTTGCCCGCAAGCATGGGGTGAGGGCATTTGAAGTCTAAGTTCTGAAGTTGGAACCATTTTCGAAAGTTGGAGCTGGGGTTCCAATGATCCTAGGGGCTCTCTATAGCAGCCACAGGATATGCCCCAAGTCACTTAAATACTTTAAGTTTTGTGGCTCTTCTAATAAACTATTGCTATTTTTAAAACCTAGAAAGGCAGGCAACTGGCAATGACATGGCTTAAAAAACTGATGACTAATCATTTTCAGGATCCATAAATATAATGAAATGTGCTGTTTCTTATTCAAGAATTATCCCCCTGACCCTTATTTCATTGCCAGATGCAGATGACTCAGGAAACATCAAATGACTTTTCTTCTGTGTGAGAGTAAGAAAAAACATGCATAGTCACATTCCCTACATGGCAAATATGCATGATTGTAATTGTTCAGCAACAATTCTATCCAAGATAAATATCCAATCAATATCATTTGTTTCCCCGCTTTGTAGAACCTGTGAAAACTTGAAGCAGGGCACTTCTATTATCACAATACCTTTTAAGCCCTCACAAGAAAAAGGAAACAAATAGATTTAACACTTCGGAAGAATGAAATAGTAGAGAAGCAATCACTCCTTTAGTAGTGAACTCAGTTGATGAATGCCCACAAATCTAAAGGATATAAACCAAGATTAGGGTTGGGATAACCCTTTTGGAAACTCTCCCTCCAGAATCTACAAACTTACTCTCATACTTGGTCTGATCCTGCAAAGCGAGGTGAACCAAGAGCAGGTGCTTGAATGTGCATGGACCCCACAGCTGTGCAAACAGGAACCTTTCCCAGCCACCATTCCCAGCAACCAAGCTTCTTGTCCACTAACTGCTGCCGACAGCTGTAGTACACGTGGAAAAGGGGCACAGTGAGCAGGTTCACTCCATTCCCAGGGGCCAACAGCAGTGGAGGGCACAGAATGGTGCTGCTTGCACAATATTTAGGGCTCGATTCCTGGTAAGTACCCTGGGTACGCTTAGCAGGAAGTTGGACTCAGGGCCACCACAAAGTGAACCAGAGTCCAGGAAGCTGAAAACAGGGCATCTGGTGGATTTTCCATACAAAATGGATTCCTCACACATCCCTAGCATAGACAGAATTAAGTTTGGAAGTTTAGATTTAATTAACTCTGCAGAGCTCTTTGAAAAGATACCCAGCATAATTTATACAAATATTTGTATTCTGCTTTGTCTTGGGGTAGCTAACAGTATTTTAATTGACAAATTAAATCATAAAAACAAAATACTATAAAAACAGGTTTGATCATTGCAATGGTATACATTCTGCAACATTTTGAAATTACAGACAAATATATGCGCATAGACATATATGCGCTATACCTTGTGAAATGTGATAGAATATATCATAAGTAATAGAGAAGTAAGATTCAAGGATACTTAGCTAGTGATTTGTGTACAAAACAACACATGAATCCAAGCCAGAAAAATGTATTCATTAACAAGCAGTCTGACCATGGGGCCTGTACTGGTGTATGTACCAAACAGCAAAGATATACTGTACACAATTTAATGTAAGATTTCCCCCAAAGGCTAAATTAGATATTTTGGTACCCATCACTTCAGAAACATAATGGGGGCAACAACTATAAAAACACGAAAAAGGTGGCTTTCTACATACTTGGAGAACTCCCTAGGTACACATAGATTTGAAAGTGTATTAACGAAGAAGAAGAATGCTTTTTTAAAAACCTCTGCCTCAAATGGCCAGAACTAAGTTGTCTGAGGCTTCAGCATACAGATCACCAAGGTAATGGCTGAAAGAGAGAAATAGGTAACTGGGAGGGGATGAAAGAAATGGAGGTTAGCCTGATCAGGCCCCTAACAGCTACCAGTAAAATACCTGGAATTGGTAAGGTTAGGGCTTGCAGACTGTGTGCTTCAAGCTTAAACAAACAAGCTTAAACAAAACCCTTCCATTTTTGTAATATAATAAATGTTTCTGAAAGTAAGAGCCAAGGACAGAGCATCCACATTTCAGAACCACCTCTGCTCCCAAATTAGCAATGTAGGAACATAGCAAGATGCCTTATACCAGATCAGACAATTGTCCACGTAGATGAGTAACGTATTTCCAGACTGACAATTACCTCACTGAGTGGGGTGGTGTGCATTGGTGACCTTCAACAGCAGGGGGTTGGGTGCAGTGGCCTTCTTGGCCGTTTCCAACTTTACTATTCTATGATTCAATGATTTCATTTATTACATTTCAATACCACCCAATGGCTGAAGCTCTCTGGCAATTCACAAAGATTAAAAGCTTAACATTACGTTATAATGATGCAGACATATAAACAGGCCACATTCAGAAAGACCTAACACAATTTTAAACAATAAATAACATTCCTCCTGCTTGAATCATCACCCCCTTTCCTATTTCAGGAGCATGCCTGTTGCAGGTTGGAGATATGCAGCATATCTCAATTGGGTTTATTGATTTTGAAAGCTCTTTGAGGAGAAAAGTGATTAATAATCTACAGAAAAAAGTTTCAAAAAGCTATTAAATCCCATGAGTATGAATGCATTATTATAACTAAAAAACTGATATACTCCCATCAAAGGCTTGACATGAAGTATCCTACAGTGATAAGCCTGAGAAAAGAAGGGGGTGTCCAGCATCTTGAAGCTTGTTTGCTAAGAATGAACACTTCCACATTCATTTTCTTAAGCTGCCCAACACAATTATACTATATAAAAGTTCTGCAAAATAAAACATCAAAATCAGATGAATACATCTTATTTATAAAAAGAATAAGCGTTTGTCGCAACAGTTCTTACCCCTGCTAGAGAGAAAACCTGTTCAAATGGCACTACAGCTTTAGAAGGGCACCTCATCTGCCCCACAGGTTCTTTACACAAGTCACTCTTGCAGCTGCTGAAAGGCAATGTTGTAAATTCCTAGTAGAATATTCATTCATCCCTGTATTTTTATGACTCACCTTTCAATGACTTTAAGTGCTGCACTGCCATTCTTAATACTGTAAGTTTATCCAGTTTACGTGCTACAGGATTGCACTGAGGTATCATGGCAGACAATTCTTCTATCAGATTATTCATTTTGTCTCTTCTTCGTTTCTCTGTTTGGCTATGAGCCTCTCTAGAGAAAATGCAGAAGATGTATCTATTAGATGTACCCCTCTGCTTTAGCACTTGTTTCTGAAACATACTGTACAGATTTTTTTACATAAAAATATAGCTAAGTAACTTGGTCTTTTAAAATTCTTTGTGCATATAATATATATTATATAGCATACATATTATATAACATATAATTATTAGTCAACTACTGATATTAAACAAAGGGAAAAACTATGCAAAGATAAAGCACAAAACATGCTGTTATTAATCAGTAGCAACTTCTTCAATCACTGAAAATAAGACAAGCATTCAGAGCCTTTCTATTTTTTTTAAATTCATCAGGGAAATAAAGATTAGTTTTATCATTTATCACTGCTGTCCTTCAATATGGAGCACTACACCACACAGAGAAACCTCTAGTTCTGCCTACTTTGTTTCCCATTACTTTGGCTGGCGCTCGACAGAGTTCTGAGTCACTGGTAAAAAGTGCAAAAGAAGAAGGAACTTCATACCACTGCTTGGGTGCAGGAGTGCTGGAGGAAGATAGAACTGGGGTCTAAGCCCAATCATTTGTGCCTCTTCACACACATACTGGTTTTTCATGGGATCTAGATAAACACTGAATTTTTTGAACCACCCACCCAACATCACTTTAAAGCTTACAAAGAAAAAAATTGTAATTCTGGTGCTTGCCAGGGCACAAAAGCCTACTCTGAAACACAGATCCTTGCATGCTGGCAATGCTGGATCGGTGACATCTAGTGTACAGACCCTTATGTAAAGTTTTATTGGTGGTTGGAGATTGTGAGCAAGCCTGTGCAAGAAAACAAGCAAACCACAAAGGTTTTGACATGTAAGCAGGTCCCTTGAAAAACTGAAACATGTGCGCTCTCTCTTTCTCCTGCTGTATGAATGTGGAGATGCTGGGGAGCAGAGCAATGAGGGAACAGTGGCTATGGCATGCTCTCAAATTCAAAACATTCCCATGGGCCATTGGGAACCCCTGATTTATTATACAGTATTTAATGATGTCAGTTAATATTCACATTATATTTTAGATTTTATTAAACTAATCATTTACTACTGAACATTAATCCTTCACACATTTATTTTAATTTTACAAACAGCATTCTTGCCTGTGTTTCCAAATTGCTCACCAATGTCCTATTCTCGCCTTTTACTTTTAAATCATTCATTAATACAATCATCGTTGTGTGTTCTAAGACATCGCCTATAATTTCTTACATAACCAGCTTTCTCCAGTCATCATGGTCAATGCTCAGGGATGATAGAGGTTAACAAAACATCCAAAACTATGTTGGGGAAGGCTGAACAAAATCTCCTAATACTCCTATTCTCCCTTTAAATTGCTACCGGATATAAAAATTATCAGTCATCAGTATAATGGCTCTTCCAACAAGTTCTTAGAGTGGTATGTACATTTTCTTAATTTTTACCAGTCTATTATGGATTGACAGATGCTATCTTTGACCATTTTTAAAAATATAGCAATCATGCCAATATAGGCAGACTGAATGAATTCTGATTTACTTGATCCATTACAGATACCCAGTTAGATACCCTTTCATTTTTAAACACAGACTTTATAAATTGTGTATTACAATTTTCCACAATCAGTCAGAGGGTAGTCCCTCTGACTCCAAAGGGTGCATGAACAGAATCATAATTTAAAGCAAACAAAAGATAAATTTAGGAATTTCAGAAAGCCATGGTGTATAGTAACTACTTTGACGGTTCCTGGGGGTTCATACTAAAGAGCCAATGGAAAAACATGAACTTACCAAACGATACACAATCCTCCACAAATAACCTTTATTACACAGACATATGCAATTAATGGTTTTTATTTTTTATTATTAAGTTTTGTAATCAAATGCACTAGTATTCAAAGTGTAATTGTACAAATTTCACCAAAAGTGTTCAGTGACCCTATTGCCTAATAAATGCGCTTAGAGTTGAAGGCTAATTTTGTAAGTATAACTGTTGATCCCAACCCTAACCAGCAATTCTCTAACTCCCTGAATGCAGAACTTAAAAAACTGATAATTTGCTCATCATCTTGAGCACTCTTTCTCATCAAGAAAATCTTGACTTGGAAAAGTATCTTCAGACATGATTTGCTATCATCCAACATCCTTCTTTCCATCCAACATTTAGAGTCTTTCAGCCTCTAAATAAACATTGTTCAGACTTCTTCCTGCCCAAAGAATAACAACCAGATGCTTCTATATACTTTTAAAAAGCATACAATAATATTTGTGCGAATTGCATACTGGACAGTTTGGGAACATATAGGAGCTTTGACTGCAAGATGTCACTAAAATTACATTAAGATATTGACTGCAAAGGGAACTGATGGTGTATTATCTTCTTATTTAATGGTATTACATTTGGGGAAAAGTAAGTTAGCAACTGCTGATTACAGTAAGTTATCTGCTACACAATTGTATATACCAGATAGGGCACTTCACATTCATTAAGAGTTCATTGAGAAGATTCTTTAAAGACAATTCAAGAACTTTGGAAATTTCTATCCCAAAATCAAAACTATAAAAATAAAATACCAATAAGATATGGATAGTCCAATTAAATAGAGCACGTAGTTCCTGGAAATAAGCTCTCTATACTCTCTGGGACTCACTTCTGAGCAGAAATCTGGAGAATTGAGCTGCAAAGCTGTTAGAAATGTTTTGTGCAAGGCTATAAAAATATGCTCCTACACAATGCTACAACAGCACTAAATAATCTGGGATAGAGAGAATCATACAACTCTGTGAGCACAATCCAAACAAAGTTAAGAATGCATAAACTGAAATCAATGACACAAGGTAATTAATCCTATTTGTATCAAGCCCTATGATGTTTTACTTATGTTGAGGGCAAATATGCAGGCACAGGTGTTCATGACGCCTAAGATTAATTTGTACTTTTTTTCTAGAAAACTCTATTTTTTTTTCTAAGCAGTAGTACCTGAAATATTTAATTTTTACATGTTCGTCATCTTCACTCCTAGAGAAAAGAAGCATTAACATTAAATAAAATGCCAAACATTTTTATACACTTAGACAGAAAAATATGATACTGCTAAACATCCAAGTTCATGCTTTGATTTATGTTATATTGGAACCAAAGTTTGGTTCCCGGCTTGTCAGGGGAGACAAGATGGAATTCCTAACACAAATGAAACCATGGATGTGGGATATTTAGCCACAGCTGGCACAGTTATCTAGAGTGCAGCATGCTATCTTGTTTCTACTCCTGATTTAAAAAACAAAACAAAACCTTGAGTATTATATGTGAACAAGTCTCACAAGTCTCACAAGTGCACAAATCTCTTCAGTATTAAAATTATTGCAGAACACTTCTCAAAATAAAACAGCTAAAACAAACTCAATAGTTTCAAATGAAAGGCCCCACTATAGATTTTTTTATTATCTTATTGACTTTGAAGCATGATGGGTGGGATGGAGCAATATTTATGCATTAGTACTTACAAGAAAAAATACAAGGTGAACACAGTTCAACACACTACATCATACTTTTTATTACCAAGTATCATGAGAATACAAAGAGAATCATGCCGACTTCCGAGATTAATAGCTAGAGAAGGGGGAGACTGTTGATGTGCAAGTATCTCTAGGAGCCAGCGAGTATTCACAGTGGACACAAAACAAATGTCGATGTCAAACTGAACTATAAAAAATGGATTTTTTAAAGTGTTCAGTTACATGCAGCATGTGTTTTTTAAAAATCCTAACTTGGTATACAATGAAATTGAAATTCCATTTAAAGCCTACACCTTTATAAAATTAAATTGATTGTCCTTTGACTAGACAAATAAGCCAAATTCATAGCTAGATGATAAAAATAAGCCTTGGATTTGTGTGTTCTCTTTTGGCATGGCTGGGGGAAGGCTTTCACTTCCAATTTGCTTAACCCCTGCTTATCGTGCCCTCTTAACTAATAATTTGCAGATAACATTAGCTATAGTTAGTTTGAAACAAGCCAGCCTTAAACCAGAAGAGATACCGTCTAATCTCTCGCCAAGAATATCCACTGGCCCCACATGAATGAGCTTATAGTCATTTTATGAGTACCTGACCTCTGTAGTATATTTATTTCTCAGTAACTATATTTGCCACATAAGCATATTACTTTTGAATTAATGGAAGAACACTGTTTTGCCTAATAACTGCAAGACCTTCTGCATAGTTCAAGTCATTTGATCCTTCAAGGAAATAATCTTTCTTAATTCCTTATACATGTACAAAAGCAACTAACAAAACAGATATATGTTTATGTCTAAAAATGGCACTCAAATCTATTGATTTAAAGTTTTTGTAAAGGATTATACCTGCTCTGGAGATCATCACCATCCATGTCACAGGCATATCTAGAGAAAAGAATTTAATCTAATCATAAGACATAAAAATCAAGAATGAAAAGTCAATAGAATGAAAAATCTGAACTTTATCCTACTATTCCTACAACAAAGGCTAGGAACAGGCAAACATAGAGGAAAGCCAGAAAAGAGCAACATTGTTTTTCTATATTCTAAATAACAGCTGAGTTTCTTATTAGATGGTGACATTGTTGTGTTGTAATTCTAAGATTCATATTCTTTTGCCATGATCATAGAGAAAGGATAGTGAAAATGCTGCTGCAAAAGCCTTAAGTAATCTATGTTGGGATCAACGTTATATGCTATGCTTAATTGAGAAGGGTGTGGTTTTGATATCATGATATCCTAAATGCCTATTTGCATTCTTTTAATGAAAGCAACATGGAACTTAAGACCTTCTTCCTTGATCCATCATGAATGCTGAAGATGTATTAAAATTCAACTGAAAAGCAAAAAGTTAATGCCAAATAATATTTTTCTTACTCTCCCACTGAAATAAAGTGAAAATAAAATGCCCCAACTAATACACATTCTCCCTTATATCTGACATATAACTTTTGTTTTTAAATACTTTCAATTTAAAACATGTTGAAAGTTGCCATAAGTCAGTATATCAGCAGGTTTAAATACTTAAAAGTTGTCCAATAAAGAGCTTTTTTTCACAAAGTTAATATTTAAGATAGATTTATTCCAAAGAAAGTCTAGATAATAGAGATGAATAAAGGGGTTAATATTTAAATATGATTATTCCTTTCCATGAATAAGCTCATATCCATGGTAAACACCAAATAAATAACCCTGATAGCGACATGTGCATTCTCCAATGCTTCCAGATAATGAAGCACTAGAGCAGTGGTGGTGAACCTATGGCACGCGTGCCGCAGCAGGCACACAGAATCCCCCTGCTGGCACGCGAGCCAAGTTGTCCCACCATCACCCCAGCAGCTGAGCATCGGATAACAGCGCACACAGGGGCCATGCGCATTCTTGGAAAGGAGTAGCAGTGCCAGGCGATGACGTCATGAGCCATGACTCATTAGCCATGACTCATCCAAGCTTTTGCATGGCCGGTCAGTGCACTGCCAAGGAGAGAGATATATATATTTGCTTGAACCGGCAGTGAGTGTTAATACATTTGTTTTTATTAACAAATTATATCAAATCCAATGCAAGAAACAGACTAACAGATGATCTGAGTGCTGCATGTGTTGCTCTCAAACTAATGAAATATGAGCCAAGGTTTGACAAATTCTCAGTATGATTACAACAGCCAAATGCAAACTTTTACCTTTCAATAAAAAGCTGTATCATTGAAAGCTCTGTTATTGTGTTTTTCTTTTAAGAGAAAACATGTTAATATATGAGGTTTTTTTCTAAACTAAAACCTCAGTATTCAGGTTTAATTGCAGTGTTGCTACTTTGTGATAAATAAGTGGGTTTTGGGTTGCAGTTTGGGCACTCGGTCTCTAAGAGGTTTGCCATAACTGCTCTAGAGGTATGCTATACAGCCATCAACACTGTTTGCGCACACTGGCCTTCACATAATATAATGTATAATACAATCCAGGATTATGCTATCAATTTGTGATATTATTAAGATTTGTTGTTGTTGTTAGTCGCGAAGTCATGTCTGACCCATCGCGACCTCATGGACAACATTCCTCCAGGCCTTCCTGTCCTCCACCATCCCCCAGAGTCCACTCAAGCTCACACCAACTGCTTCAGTGACTCCATCCAGCCACCTCATTCTCCGCCATCCCCTTCTTCTTTTGCCATCTACTGTTCCCATCATTAGACTCTTCTCCAGGGAGTCCTTCCTTCTCATTAGGTGGCCAAAGTATTTGAATGTCATCTTCAGGATCTGGTCTTCTAAAGAACAGTCAGGGTTGATCTCCTCTAGGATTGACCAGTTAGATCACCTTGTGGTCCAAGGGACTCGCAGGAGTCTCCACCAGCACCACAATTCAAAGGTCTCAATTCTTCGGCGCTCAGCCTTCCTTATGGTCCAACTTTCACAGCCATATATTGCAACTGGGAAAACAATAGTCTTGACTATACACACTTTTGTCGGCAGGGTGATGTCTCTGCTTTTTAGTATGCTGTCTAGATTTGACATAGCTTTCCTCCCCAGGAGCAAGCGTCTTTTAATTTCTTGGCTGCAGTCTCCATCTGCAGTGATCTTGGAGCCCAGGAAAATATAATCTGTCACTACCTCCATTTCTTTCCCATTTATTTGCCAGGAACTGAGAGGACCGGATGCCATGATCATAGTTTTCTTAATGTTGAGTTTCAAGCTAACTTTTGCACTCTCCTCCTTCACCCGCATCAAGTTCCTCTTCACTTTCTGCCATGAGAGTGGTATCATCTGCATATCTGAGGTTGTTGATATTTCTCCCAGCAATCTTAATTCCAACTGGTGATTCATCTAGGCCCGCCTTTCTCATAATGTGCTCTGCATATAAGTTAAATAGGCAGGGCAACAGTATACAGCCTTGCTGAACTCCTTTCTCAATTTTGAACCAATCAATGGTGCCGTGCCCAGTCCTCACTGTTGCTTCTTGACCCACATATAGGTTTCTCAAGAGACAAATAAGATGATCTGGTACTCCCATCTCTTTGAGAACTTGCCACAATTTGTTGTGATCCACACAATCAAAGGCTTTAGCATAGTCAATGAAGCAGAAGTAGATGTTTTTCTGGAACTCCCTAGCTTTCTCCATGATCCAGTGTATGTTGGCAATTTGATCTCTAGTTTCTTTCCCTCTTTGAAATCCTGCCTGTACTTCTGTTAGTTCTTGGTCCACATACTGCTAGAGCCTAGCTTGTAGGATTTTGAGCATAACTTTGCTAGCATGTGAAATGAGTCCAATGGTGTGGTAGTCTGAACATTTCTTGGCAATTATTAAGATACATAATGAGAAGTGATTTGAAGAGGCCAAATGTGAGACAGTGATTCAAAAATAGAAAAGAAAGAGGAAAAGAGAAAAACTCACACCTAGTTCTTCACAGAAAAACTTACAATTTGGAAATATGCTTCTTTAGATATGCTTTGCCCAAGTGAAGACTGTTGATACCAAATCAAAAGGTATCTGGGTTACACAGACTTTTTAATTCCTTAAGCATTAAAAAAAACCTTCTCAGATAAGAGAGAAGGGTAAGGATTACATTGTTTTCAGCCTTCTTTTATCATCATAAATAAATGTCCTGCATCATCATAATTATACTGATGAACAGGATGGAGACAGAAGAGAAAAATGGGAAATGAGGGCAGACTGCGCGAGTAAAAGATGTATACATGTGTTGATCTAGGAAAGTCTGAAACTTACATGAAAAGATATAAAGCACAGAAAATGGCTGGCTATTCCAGTTAAAGGCTGTGTCATGGAAATAAACCTAAAGGTGGGATTAGGAATAGGAAAGAAATGAGGCAGGGCTGATTGTATGTGATCATAACATTCTTGCCATGCATTTGATACACAGTTCCTGATCAAAAAGGAAAAGATCAGTCCCAAGTGCAGCATAAAAGTCATGCAGGTCCAAGAATGATTATTCCAAGTACTCCACCTTCCGGAATAAACATATTAGGTATGTTAATAACATTCATGTGCAATAGCTTAGCAAAAGTTTTTTAAGGACAACCTTGTAGGTACACAGGTAAGAACCATCACACTTACTGGTTGTCCGAATCACTTCCTTTGCGTTTTCTGGGAAATTCCATGACAAATGTACTGATTGAGTTGGCAGTGGCAGGCTGGGCTGTGGGAGTCATAAGGCTTGAGATTGCAGAGGTGACACACTGGGTTCCTTCCATCCGAAGGTTATCTGAGAAGAGGAAAACAGGGTTGAAAGAATTAGTCTATTGTTTTTATTTTGATTAATCTGAAACATATTTTCATCTAAGAAACAATCCTTATTTTCTGGCCCCTAGAAAGTTCTGCTTGTATAGTTACAGCCACTGATATTTTACCAGTTTTAAGTATTGAAACATGATATTCCAGAATTCCCTTGGATCCGTTTGACCCAGGGTCCATCTAATTCAGCATTCTGCTCACAGTAAACCCACAAGCAGAACACGGGTATAGTGGCACTCTCCCTGTTCATGTTCCAGTTTGTCATGAGTTGCTTGGGTGACTTAATCATTTTAGTTGTCCTTTTCTGCACTTTTTCTAAATTCAATATACTTTTTTTTAGGCACAGTGACCAAAACTATATCCAGCATTCAAAGAGCAGTTGCACCACCATTTTGTATAAGGAGTGAATGATTTTGGCAGTTACATTTTCAACTACTTGCCTAATCATTGCCTAATATGGAACTTGTCTTTTTCACAGCAGCCACATACTGGATCTTGACATTTTCATCGAGCTTTTCATTCGATCAACAGGATCTCTTTCTTGGTTAGTCACAGCTAGTTTAGACCCCATTAGTCTGAACTGAGTTGGAATGGAGTTGGGAATTTTTTTGCAGCACTTTTCACTTGGTAACACAGAACCCCATTTGCCTTTTCAATGCCCATTCTCTCAGTTTGGACAGATTCTTCTGAAGCATTTCACAATCCCTTTTTGTTTCAACATAATTTGGCCTCAACAGCAAAGCTGGCCACCTCATGCTGACTCCTAATTCCAGATAGTTTATGAACAAGTGGGAAACCATTGGTCCCTTCTTGATTCCTTCTGGGGTATTTTTCTCCGTTGAAAAGAATTAATCTCATCCACCTCTATTGGGGATTATATTTATTCCCTTCACACTCACACTTTATAGTTTTGGGTTAAAAGGAAATGTTGCTGTAACTCTTAAGTCAAGTGACTTATTTTATATGAGAGACAATGGTGGTCCAATGCCCTACTCTTACTGCATAAACAAAACTGCCAGCGAGTTCTATTCCACAGGTAGCATTACCTTGACTTGCCTCTTTTACAATTTCCCTGAAACTGTTTAAACTGGAATGGAAATTATGTATGCTAGCCCCAGAACCAACATATGGTTCCCCACATTTCAGGGAGAGGGGAATGGGAAAGCTATAGATTCTTCTCCAACACACTCATGAAATAGTTTTTGCCTGTACCAACAGAGATCTAATTCAGCAAGGACTGTAAAAGTCTCTGTAGCCACTGAGAGGGGAGTGTAAAGTTATATTTTCTCTTCCAAGGAGAGTTTCCAGAGATCTCAAGGTCTTGGGCTAGCCTTCCAGGGATCATCACATCACAGTCCAATTTCCTTTACAATCAAAACTGTAAAGTTATACAATCCAGTTATAAATTCTGCAGGCAAAATACCAGTCTGAAACTAAGATAGGTTCAAATAAAATTAATAAAAGAGCTGACCTAGTTTTCAAAAGACACAGCTTACATGAACAATTCTCTAGTATAAAGTAAAATAGAAGTGACAAGTACTGAAGACTCATCACTCCACCTGAAACTAGAACACAAATAAGTATAATCACATTGAAATGTAAATTACAGCAAGAGACAACATGGAAGTGCCAGGGCGGAAGCAGCACGTTTTAACAGTGTTTTATATATTACGTGGATCACAGATTAATACCAATTTTAAAAGATAGTTTAAACTCTGAATCACCACACTATGACATAAAGTACTGCCCCAGAACACAGATTTTAAAAATGGGTGAAAAATCTAGACTGTAAATGACAGTTAAATATGCAGCAAAATGGTAGATAAAATAAAAGAATACTGTATAGCAAAAATATAGACCAACCAAAGATATGCCAGATAGATATCAGGAAAAAAATCCTGTCAGAGCAGTATGAAAATGAAACCAATTTCCTGGGAGACTGTGGGCTCTGTCACACTAGAGGCATTCAAGATGCAACTGAACATCCAACTGAGAGGAATGGTTTAACTTTGTGTCTGGCACTGAGCAAGCAATTGGACCCAATGGCTTTCTGGCCTCTTCCAAATCTACTATTTTGTGAGACTGTGCAACTGTGGTCATAAAAGAATAAATCAAGTGGCTAAATGTTACCTATAAAGTATGCTACAGTGAAAAAAATCTACTTATACTACAATCAAGGGGGGGAAATCTACCCCTTCTGGGAATTGAATACCTTTTCTCCATGTAAAGATGCATGAAGTGTACCTGTAGACATCATTTACCAACACTTTTAGGCACATGTATCAACAAAATAATGTACAAAACACACTCAGACCAAGAGGGAAATGATTTAATCTTGCCTGTCAAATATAAGATATACAACGCATTTATTATTTATTAAGTATTGCTATACTTAAACTTTCTAAGTGATTTTACTTAGGTACTACTGTAGAATGTTATCCATACAATACTATGAAACTGGCAATCACGTATTTTAGCTTCATTTCAGAAAATTGCAGCTCTGCCACCAACAAAATTTTAAGCAGCCTAAGGCTGTTCCTTAGCGTACCATCTGAGGTTTTTCTCACTGCCTCTCTGACTCCCACCCCACCCCTTTATGGGGAAAGGAAACTGGGAAGATAATGTACGGCAGCTGGCGGCAGCTCAATTCTCCGTGCAACAAGCACCAGCCCAATAGATTAGATACACCCTCGCTCGGGCATGCGTTTCAAAAACTAGGACAGGGAAAATAAGCGTAGGTCATGCTAGCGAAGCGCAAAGAGGGAAGAGCTGAATCGTCCGCCCCCGCTAAGATCCCTCACTCGTATCTTTTACCTGCCGGGGATTAAGGTAGGAGGCTCGCGGAGAGAGCCCATGGAAGCTTCGTTACTACACCTGCCGGAGGTAGGAACCTGGGGCTCAGGGAGGGTGCTGGGAAATCCCACACCACCACCGTTAGCAAGCCCCCCGGGAAGCAACACTCCATTAAGCCCCTCGAAGGGCTGCCTGGGGACGATGGGGGTGTTTGCAAGGGCAACGTCGCGAAGCCCCCTCCTCCTAGGATGGATTCAGGCGCTGCCCGCGGGACTCCGGAGAAGATGTACTGCTCGCGCCCTCTCACCTGCGCCAGTCACGTCCGGGACCGCCGCCCTCAGCCCGTCGCCGGCCTCCGCAGCGCCCGGGACTGGTGCCGCCGCCGCCGCCGCCTCCGCCATAGCGAGCGCCCGCAGCTAGCCCGCTCCGTCGTGACGGCAGAGGCAGCAGCGTCCCCCTGCCCCAGAGGCATGGAGGAAGCCGACCGGCCCTCCTCCCCGGGAGCAGCCGCGCGGCCCCGGGTGACGGGAGGAGGGCTGCGCATCCAGCAGCAGCCTCCGCCGCCAAGAGCGCACCTGGCCGGGACTTCCCGCAGCCGCGGCGGCAGCGCCGCCTCCTCGCCTTCGTCATCCGCGGCTTCTCGCGAGAACCCGGCCTCAGGCGTGCGCATATTGTCGCGGAAGGGTGGTAGTAGCAGTCTTCCAGGTCTCCTCCTCGCTTCCCACCTCCCCCTATAAACAACAAGGGGAGCATCCGCACAGGTGCCCGCCACGCGCCACGGATTGCTAATACTTATCTCGGTGCGCCCTTTGGGCACATCAAAACTCCCCCTCTCGCTGCCCGCCCACCAGCACTTCAGCACCCACGAGCCCCGTGCAGCCTCTCCGAGTGGGAGCCATTGCATGTTTCTCCTGCGCCCACCTTTCCCTCCATCCCGCCCTCCTTCCTCTAGGGTGCCAAGGGAAGTCCGCCAGGCTCCCTTTTAGCAGCTGCGGAGATTTTGCGCAAAGGCAATTCCCCTCCCCTTAACATTGCAGTTTTCCATGAGCCTGCCAAATTCACCGGCGAGACAGAAGTAGGCGCGCCTATATCCCCTTGGTTTCAGCGCCTACGGGCGCGCCTGTCTCTAGCGGTTAATTCCATTCCGTATGCAGACAAGCAGCTTGGCACGCAACCAGTGACGAGCCAAGCTCCACCCCATCATCACCCACTGACCCAGATAGTCCGAAGCCTCCGCCCGGAGCAGGCGCTCGCCGGTCCAGATTTTTCCCGTCGGCGCGCCTCCCTCCCCACTAACAGAAAGAAACAGACGCTCGGCGGCGGCTAACCGCACTGCATGAGAGAGATCATAGGTGGATTGAGTCCGAATCGCAGCTGTTGTCTCCATCTCAGCTGCACGTGCAACCCACCGCTGCTGCGTGTAAACGCTCTGCTGGTAAAGAGCAGTGGTAACGTTTGCAATGCAGGTGCCCATCATGACAACCCCCCCCCCCCGAGCCAAGTCTCCAAAGAGATGAATAGCCAAACTCGATAGGTGTTCACAAGAATGGGGGACAAGTACAGTATATACATACGTAAAGCAAAAATACCCTCTTTTACATTTTACCTGAGGAAAACTCTTCAAGTTACTTTAATTTTTCTCTTCATTATGTTGACATTGCTATTAAAAAGTATTCGTATTCTTCCAGCAGTTCTCAATCGCCCATTCAAAATCAAGCCAGACTATGGTACTCTGCAATATATAAGGTACTGTTTCCAACAGGGGTCTCCAAGCTTTATGGTTCCTGGGCACAACATGGAATTGTGACAGTCTTGTGGATGTTTTCCTAATATGACTGCTATGGAGTGGGGAGCTGTGCTCTGACATGCAAAACCTCGTTTTTGAACCCAAATAAAGATGGCGCTGCAAAGCAAGCAGCCCCTCACACTTTTCAGCATTAAACATTAACAATTGTTAACAAGATAAAAATCGGAAGGGGCTGGGAGGCTTGCAAGCATCAAGAGACAGGTCTGTGGCCACATGGCCGCAGACCCCAGGCTCACAAAATCACCTTGGTGCTGGAAAAGGGCATCCCTCTCGCCACACAGTGTGAATCGCACCACTGAACACAAAAAGAACAGGGAAGCCTTTGATATCACAGTGCCTTCTATAACACTGGGCTTGGCATTTTAAGCTTGCACATGCCCCTTCCACTACTTAGGAATCAAGGCACTAAGCCAGCGTTGGCTGAAGACCTGTTTATCCAGTGCAGAAAGCCGAAAGGCATTGCTTTCTCATCCTGAAAAGTGAATATTAGTAAGGGTTCATTTCCAATCTCTGTGCTGCAAGAAGTCAAGGGGCACGTGTGCTTTGATACAAGCAGCTGGATGTGAGATGTGTGAGCAGTCAGGCATGGATATAAACAGAGGGTTATCTTTAGGGTCAACACTGCTTCCGCACTGATTCCCCCTCCCCGCTCTCACTGCCACTTTGCTACCAGCCATTTCATCAAGATTATTATGGGAATCAAGAACACTGAAGAATGCGATGGTTTAATCTTGTTGCCTTCTGCCTGTTGGCATTGAGGCTGACATGGACAGCTGAGAGGAAATAGCATTCCCAGAAGGCAACACTGCCTGGAGATCAGGTTTTCTTTCTCTCTTGTCAACAGTTGGTGCTAGCCTTCCACAGCCAGTACTTCAAGAGGCACCTGCAAGCTTAGCTTACCTGAATCAGAGAGTTCAGTACAATTTCAATTACGTCCCAGGCCTTCTGGACTGTAACCAAGGAAACAACATCCTCATCTCCACACAACTAAAAGCAGTGATGGAGTCCTGCCCTGTTTTGTGGGCAAAGCAGGTGTTTTGCCACTGAACTTTGATTCCTCCTCTGTGAAGAAAGAGGCTACTCAGGGCTTAGTCTTGCAGGCAGCATAGCCCATAGGTTTTTCCCTTCCCCAGCAGATGCATGTTTAACAGCATAACTCTATAGATTTCCTCAGTTGATTTTAATTCTGAATAGACAACAAGTCTTTCTTCCAAGTAAGAAACTCTAAAAGTGCAAGCTAAGGACACAATGATATAATCTTAATCCTAAACATGCATAGAATTGCACCCAAAGTGTCTTCACATGTGGCTACAGTTGCCAAAACAGGCTGACTATATAAAAATAACCCAGACATCATTTGGAGGCATGAGGGACATATAAAATTTTTAGATTGGAGTATTGGTTTGCTGCTGCTTTGTTCTTTTATTGTTTTATTGGTTGTCATTATTGTTTATATTATGTTTATTTTCCTCCTGTTCCTATTTATATGGTTGTATTTATATTGTATTTGAATTTTATTATGTTTTATGTTTGCTTGTTGTTTATTTTTATTTGTACTTTTATATACATATATTGCATTGTGAGCAGCCCAGAGAGCCGGCTATGGGGTGCCATACAAATGTAGTAAATAAACTTTGGTTCTTAATAGGACTGGAGATCTAGCTTGAATTTTCATGCAAAGACCTGGGAACTAGTGACAAGCTTAAGCATTGATGGAAGCATCAGTATCACTGTATGATCAGGTGTCCTAAATTCATTCAGCTCCCTATGCACATACAAATGCATCCCCTCAGTCAAATACACAGAGGCCAGGCAGTACAACTGGTAGCAATCTCCACATCTAGGGTACAGCCAGAAGACACAGCTCTGCTTCTCAAACCATGTAATCACCTTCTAAAGGAGGGTTTGTTCTGCAGGCAGCATGCACTTTTTTTGCTTCCCAGGTGAGGTCCTGGCCTAACCTGGACTTCTGCATAGACAGGGAAGCCAGTGGCTAGCCTTGGTGAGTGGAATCATTACAAGGAGCAGTTTTACACCTAGATGCCCTCTGAGGAAACACCAGATTATAATTACTGACCATAACAAGTAAACTGAAGGTGGTTGCTTAACTGCTTCTGCAATACAAAGGAACAGCCACATGGCAGAAACATTATTGTAGCAACAATTTTTCTGCTTCCCTAACAGTAAAAGTAAGAAAAGAGAGGTCAGGAGTATTTAATAATGTTCTCATAAAGAAGTGCTCAAAAGCATGATGAGAAATCAGGTTGGCATGGGACTCAAAGCAAGGGCTATCCAGTACACTGTGATAAGCTACACAGTAAACAATACAAATGGAAAATCGTACTACCTGCTGAACAATAATTCAGAATGACGTGTAACTCTATATAGTACCCTTTGTATGAATACACATCATTCTTCAAAAGAGCGATTTTAAATGTCTCTCTTAAATTGTAAAGAAAGAATTGATAAAACATTAAAAGTCACAACAGACACCAGCAGGGAGCAGATTGTCTTCAAAACCTCCTTCAGTTTTGGCAGTTCCAAAGCACTTACTTCTATTGTTTGCTGGTTTTTCATTGAAATAAATGAATCCTGCAGAGAAAATCCACAGGATCCACTTTGGTAATCACTTTTGGTAGCTAGGCTTTCTTGAAAATTCTTTGATCATCCGGCAAAAGTATAGCCTGTCTTCTCTGTATCTAAAGGCTTAATGGATTAGGAACTTTGAAAATTATTTCTAAAGTGAATTGGATTTTGACATAAAGGAATATTAAAAGACAGACATTTGGAAATTGTTATTTTAGAGAATGTTCATTTTCAGTGAACTAGCTAGCTTACCCTTTGAATGTTCTTTCATCTATAGCTAACATTTAAAAAAAACTACCAGTCCCTTTTCCTAAACAGATGATTTCACAACAGGACCATAAAATAGTTCAGATTATATTTTCATAATACATTTCACTAGTCTAATGTGGAAGTTATCAGTGTATGGAGAACTGTCACCAGGCTTCATCTATTCAGGACAAGGCATAAGCTGCTGTAACAGCCTTGGTAGTTTAAAGATACACCATGCAAACGGCGCTTGAATTTTCACTGAGAATATTGATAAAGCAGGATAAAGAAATGACCTCAATCTACACATTTCACTGGGAAAACTGGAATCTCATCCAGAACAGGTTGCATTCCACCTCTCTTGTTAGATGAACTGCCAACCACAGAACATTTTGTTTTGTCCAAACTGAGTTTATTAGCATTCATCCATTCCATTTCTGGACACCCACCCTGCACTTCTCCTGCCACATCTGATTCAGATCTAAAAAGCAAATATAGTTGGACATCTTTACATGAGGATACAGAAAACACCTCATGCCAGAGCACAAATGAGCTCACCCAGCAGCTTCATATAAAATACGGGGAACTAGATGCCAAGGGGCTAGAAAAAGGCCATCTAGCACCACCTTTGCAAGCAACCCTCTAAATACAAGTGTAATCGAAAGGGTCACAACTACCAAGTGTAATTTCCAGAGCACAATACTAGCAAATCTCCAGCCCAAGAAGCCTATGTAGAAGAATATACACGGCTGCCAAGCAGTCTGTTAGAATGAGAAGGGCTGCACTTTTCCATCTTCCAAACCTGCATGTATCTTTTGGAACACTTTACAACTGCATTTCTGTTGCACTAATAGAAATGACCCTATTTGCATAGGGTTACTCCCCTGCTTGAAAGATCAGGTTTGCAGCTTAGAGCTGATATCAGAACAGGCCATATTGGTGGATGCTGAACTGGCTACAAGAGACAAGGATTGAGCACAATACAACAATGCACCGTGAGTGACAAGCCATGGTGGATTGCTGTGCAATGTGAAGCCTAGAGTGTAACCTGCAGTGTCGTTTGTTTCAGGGCAACACACCTGGACAATCTGTAGTTTAGTGTTGTACCCATATGGGTTGTATCCAAAATGAATGTCCAGCTTCATCCAGAACTGGATGACCAACTCCATCTTGGAAAGTGGGAATTGACTAGTGAACCACTTGTCAAAAGCAGCAATAAATACCCGCTTGCCATTCTTGTCATGCTTCCCCAAGTGGCTTCACCTTCTCCACAGCAATTCTGAACTCTTTTGCATTGACTGTGAGCTTTTTGTCCCTTTTAGCCTACCTCCCCCACAAGACAATGAAAAGTAGTCTCTATTTTCACACCAAAAAAGTTGCAATGGGGGGAGCACAAGTGAGTCATGCTGCAGGATCCTCTGAAATACCTGTGGGAGGACTAAGGAAGGTATGTGAGGAATCCACTGAGAGTCAAAAACTTCATTGGGCACTTTGTGGCATGTTTGCACAACCCACCCACCTGCCCAGGCTTATTGCCAGGGCAGGTTGTCACATCATGCAGATACACTGGTTTCTTTTCTTTTGTACAGCACAGACCTGCACTCCCTCACCAGCTATTTTTGAGCGGCAGATTCACTATCAAGTTTTCAGTATCAGTGAGGAGAGGAGCTATACTGCTCCATGCTTTTGCAAATTAAAATTTTAGTTTTACTAATATGAGCTACTCTGTTGCCAATTGCTTTTAATGTAATGGAACAGTTTGGGGGTTTGTGTGTATTGTGAGCTAATAACCTGAAAGGACTGAAAAGTTCAATATACATTTTTTGATAAAGATCATAATGGATTCTAAAATGGTATTCAAACCCTGATGTTCCTCTGGCATCCAATTAATGCATCTTGGAAATGTGATAATCGCTGAAAAGAAGTATTTGTTTCCCACTATGGAGGTTTCCCTGTAATACATAACTACTGGGTAGTGTCTGGTATGCAAAAGCAAGTTTTTAGCTAAGTCTAACAAGTGTGGTGCTCCACGCAAAGAAACAGTGCAGTCTAGGCATTAGGTCAGTATCCTCTGCAGTAGAGACACTGCTGCAGAGAGGAAAGACCACTGATATAGTAACAAGGAGATGCTGCTTAGGAGTACTCTGCTTCTCTGTTAAAGCTCCTGCATTACTCAAACCATTCAAAAATATGTACGGCAGGAAAAAGATGCATGACTACCAAGAAGTTGAAGATGTAGTTATCCCTTCTTCCACCCTTTTCTTCTTTTCCTCCTCCTTACTCACATGGTGCAGTGTTATCTACTGAAATTAATCACTTTTGAATGCCAAATAATGGTTTTGCCAGACTATAATGTTCATCATAGTGCACTAAAAACAACGATACATGCAAAAGTCTTCTTCAAGAATTTTGGTCCAGAACCAGGATTGTTAATTGAACCTATGATACTGAAAGCTGGTTATAGATATTGGCAGTCATTTGTCTGCTCAGGTCAGTGATATATGGAGCAAGTATGGCTGAGATGAGGTTTTGACAGGAAAATAACTAGAGACTGGCAAGCTTCTAACTCCACAAATTAATATGTGGACAAATTATTGCTCTGATGTTGGTAGATTATTAATAGCAACTCTATTCTGTTGAAAGGGCAATCCCAGAGTTCAATAGGCCTTACTGTTGCGTGATGCAGGGTTGCAACCAAAACATATTAAACTCAGCCTTTTTCTAGTTGGATACAGTGGTGCAGACTTTCCCTGACTGTTTGTTCCAGGCTAATTTGGGTTTTTCTAGCTCTGGTATTTGAACCAGTTAGTCTTTAGAAACAAACATGGATGCTTGTTGGCTGGTATTTTAGGAACACCCGTTAATTATTCTCCCAGAGGTCTAGACTAATTCTCAAGTGTCAACCTCACACCCCAACTCTCAAATATTAGACAAAATCTATGAAAGCTATGCAGATTCTGAAAAAAGGGAAGTTTTTTCAAAGTGAAATGATGAGGATGTATTTCATGTGCCAAGTCTATACAGGAGGGTTAGAGTAGCTGTAGCTGTAACCCAGCTTGGTAACTAAAGCTTAATAAAAAGGCTAACCAACCGTGTCTTTCAGAAGCAGTGAAAGAATGCACTTTCAAATGCTCTTCCATTTAAAGACTGCACTGGACAGAGAAAATAAACATGTCCAGTTATTTTCCTTCCTCACCATTGACAGAAGGTTTTTGGTGTGTGGGTGGGAGAAAAGTGAACAGAAGGCCCCTTAAACCTGCATTCCAAAGTAGTAAACTCTTTGTGGAGTTGTACACCACCATCATTCAAAGATGTTCACTTTAAAGAAAACAGCATTTCCCTAGTATTCCCACACTAAAATACCCAGGCATTTACACCCAAACCACTCAGTGACAGCAACTTTTCTTACATGCTGTGCTTCTGTTTAGTAACAAGAATGATACACTTTCAGAAGCTGAGGGCAAGTATGATAGTCAGGCATAGTTATTTATAAACCTACTGAAACATACTGAAATTTTTAAGAACTAATATTTTGAAGTTCAGTCATGCATCTGTTATGACAAAACCAAACCAAACTCTGGAAAGGCAGTTCTTTGGGGTGCAAGGTCTTGTGATAAACCTAGAAAAGGAAACACACAACAGGAAACTCATCTCACAGTGCAAAAAACCAAATATTAACATATTTTACAAAAATACGAATTTACAAAAGAATGCCATGTTTATTTAATATGCTGTAAAAAGCCTTATATAAATTTTTATAATGCTTTCTATTGTAACTTTTCCCAAACCTCAACTAATGCATTTGTCTAATAAAAAAAGACAGTTGCCATTCATTTTTTAAAGTTAACTTTTGAAATGTAATCAACATTAAACAAGGTCAAAGTACAGTCTGCTTAAATGTTCAGAAAATATAGAGTACTTTTGAAGCACTATTTACTGGGGAAGAGTGGTGTACATTTGTTAAAGGGCAAAATAAATCGAAGACCAAAATTAGAAACCCATCACAATGTTTTCTGTATCCTTTAAGAAGCTTCAGACTGTTGTGGATATTAGTCTTGTAAAAGCACAACAAGAAACAGCCACAAGTAGTCTTTAAGTGTTCCATAAGATAAGCACACAGAATGTCCTACCCCAAAAGAACACTTTCCAGTACCAGCTGCCAATTCAGAAGCAAGAGTGGTGCATGGAAGGAGTGGCAGCTACAGGGAGACACCAGCAGCCCCTTTTGAGGAATGGGGGTGGTGTCCAAGCACACCATCTCCTGTGCCCCCTCTCAGAGCAGCCTTCCAGCAAAACTAGTTTCTGATCAAGGCTCTAACAGATACGCCAGCACTCTAGGCCAGCTACCTTACAAACCATAATAAAACTGTGACTTTAGCCATGGATCTAGAAGGACATGTAAATTTCCACAATCTATCCTCAATTAACACCACAGTATTTCCTCTCATATTGTATCCAGTGAGTGTAGTTTTCAATAACCAACCTATAAAAGCAAGAAATTATCTTAAGCCTCTAGCAAAACAAGATTAGCAGTGCAATTGCTCTAACCTTATTAACAGATTCTGAATGCTGGCAACATTGGTCGATTCTGGATCATTTCCATATATAAAACTTGATTTATTTTCCGGTACAGTTTTCCTGGGATTGTATGAATTCAAAAGGCAGATGAAGGATTGGGCATGGAAGCTTCTTTGCCTGTAGAAAGCTTGCATGCCAGGGAGAAAATATGTTGCTCCCCCCATTCTTTTCCCTTTAACTTAGTTTGCCCATCACCCTGCCTTCTGAAGTAGTACATTTTCCAGGAAAATGGTACTGCATACTTCCAATTTTGTAGTTCAGTTCTAATCCATGGTGATATAAAACATACCCCTAATCTGAAGATTAATCAACCCAACCCTCACCTCAAATTAGTTGGTAATCACCTCCAGTTTTTTAGTCCAGAAGAATTAACACAACAGTTTCAGAACACACAAGTGACACTTTCATCCCACTTAATACCCCATTTAGAAAAGAAGCTAACCACATAAATTTCTTGAAAACAGAACTGCATAATTTGCAATCAAGCCATTTCAGGATCTTTGGTACTCAGAGGACAATAAAATGGTACAAACCTTCACAGGAAAATTAATTCAGGAGCAGGGGAAAAAATAAACAAATAAGAGATTTGTTGATTGGTTTTCAAAAGCATTTTTTTCTGCTGATTCGTCTATCACTGTCCCTATTTTTTCCTCTAAAAGTTCTCAGCTATCAAACTGGAAGCTGAAGTTTAATATTTTTGATTTGACAACAGTGCCATTATTTCCCCTGAAAAAAAGAATTGCAACTCTCTTAGCAGAGGTTTATTATGCTAAATACACTGTGGCACAGGTCCCAGTTCTACACCGTTTAGACTACCAATTGCAATCCAAAGTACATCTTTTTAGTTATTACACCCAGGACCCCTGAGCTAGAACATAAACCATTCAGAGCAGAGAATAACCTTTGAAAAATAGCTAGTCTGGACCAGCATGAGTTTTTTTGTTTCTAAGAAAATCCATGACATTTTCTTATGTTACCATGATTCATCTGTGGGGACCATTACAAAAAGCAGCTTCTAGTTTTCATACTGTGTATCTAAACCCCCTGCCCAGATTAACACATGATGGGGCAACAATACTGAGAAACAGACAATGCTGCTTCTTACATACGTGATATGTTTTTAACCTCTGGGCAAATTAGACACATTACAGTACAAACAGAGGCATCATTGACCTTTATACAGACATAGAGGCAGTGCAGATACAAAGAAGATGTCCATTCCTTTTTTATTATTCCAGTACCTTTGTTATAATAAAGTTAACAAAAATATTCACTATTAAAAAAAAGAAAAAGAAAAAAAAAGCCAGCTGGCACTGCCAACTAATTCTTGTAGTAGTCTTAGAAATCCTAATCCGGTAGAATTTCCTAGTATCTCGGTGAAGTCAGTGTGCACCAGTCTGTGTCCGTGACCATTTCAGTGTATTGAGATCTATGCCAAGCGGGTCTTGGTGATGCAGCAACTACCTGAGTTCTTATTTATGTCTTATTTCTGCTGTGTTTCACAACTTTCCTGCTTTCATGTAAGAAGGGATAGATCCACGCTGAGTGAGCCCTTCAAACCTCTTGTAGGTGTAATTAAGGAAAACCCAGTCTTTGGACTTGTAGTCAGGTTCTGTGGTGTTTGGCACTAGAATGCAAAAAGAAAGATTTCAAGTATGCATGCACATGTGTGCACACATGCTGGTTCCAAGCAATATTATGTTAAATTCAAAGAATCTCATTAATCAGCATTGTATAAGAGCAATAAGGGTTTTTAAATCATGCAGGTAAACAACACAGCATCGGACAGACACTGTCTGGGATCTGAAGGTGCACAAACAGTAAAACACACATGCATGACCCAGGACTCCAGAAACATCTTTTTCATCAATATTGATCTGACACCACTATTCACTTTTTAAAATTATCTGCACAGTCTTGGCTTTTAATTGCACTATTCCTAAGCACCTAGTATGAATGACTAGCTGAAGGTCCTAGACCAAATCTGGTCCCCTCACCCTTCAAAGCAAATACTTTTGATTCTGCAAACAGCAAGTAACAGACAATTTAGGCACGAAGCAAATATGGGTAGCTAACCTACTTATCCTGAGCTTCATTCTTAAACAGACCTTATAGCAGGGGTCTCAAACTCGCGGCCCGTGGGCCAATTGCCGGGATGGGCGGGGCACAGGGGAGGGGCCCTGCGGCCTTCAAAGCGCCGGTGGCGCCCGGGCCGGCCGCGGGATGAACGGCCCACCACCCCGCGGTGATGGAATACTTGATGCGGCCCAGCCTCACCCAGACTCTACTTCCAGCGGCCCCCAGGTAAGTTGAGTTTGAGACCCCTGCCTTATAGGGAAGCACATTTTTCATTAGAAGGCATTACAAGTTAATGTTTTCTATTGTTCAGTCTAACATTTGCATCTTTCCTTGTATCTTCTTTCGTTCCAATGCCATTTTAAACTCTGCTCTTCCTTTGCCTTCTCCAAGGCTTCCTATTTTTCCTTCACAACCCATCCCATAGAATTTGCCCACAAAGTCTTTGTTAGAACATCTGTGTGCCACCTTCACTGGGCGGTCTCCCAGCAGATCAATTTGCTGGCCGCTCTTCTGTCAGACTGTCTTCTTCCTTCATCCTTTCGCCTGTTACTCTGATCACAAGTTTGTAAGGTCGGAACTGTATCATTTTGGTGCAACATCCAGCATAGTTGAAGCTGGATTACAAATGTCTGGCTGGTTGATTCTTACTTGCAGGTTTCCTCTCAAGTCAGACCCCTCCCTTTCCTCCTTGCACCACATCTCCTTCTACCTCCTGTCCAAAGCACGTCTGTTTCCCTTGTTCAGCCACCGCAGTCTTTTCCTGCTGCCTTTGCTCCATCTCCTTTTATTTGTATTGGGTTTCTAAATCATTTTCTTTTTACCAATAAACCCAAAGAAGCTAAAGCCATTCTGTCTCCTCTGTCTGATGTGTTCAGCTAACTGCATGCTGAATCCTTTCTACACTTCCCGTCTGTGACAATGTCAGTCAGTCATCCACCACTGTGACCCCTTTCATGCATTTTGAATCAGAATGTCTGAATTACACAACCCTTATTTGAGTAAGGGCTGCTCCACACCATACAAACACAGGAGGGCTGTGATATACCTGGAGCAGACGTACAAGTGACCTGCTAAATTATGAGATTAAAAAGTAGTCTTCAGGTTAGCTCACCTGGCTGTAAAATATCCGATTCTGGGAATTCATCGAAATTAGAAGTGTCATCAATACTTTTGATTTCTATAGTGATTGCAGCTGGCCTCTCTCTACAACAAAATATAAAGATCTCAGTAGTGAACAGTATGAGCAACTCTGTAATCTTGCTCTTAGAAGTTTTCAATAGCAGTGCTGCCGTAAGGTCCTTCTGTTCTCCCAAGCTGTGCTCCATTATGACAACGCTCCTTATATAAGAAAACTCCATCACAGGAGTCCCACGAAAGGTCAATAGAGAGACTGAATTCTGCCGCCACCCAGACCTAGTAGTTCTGCTCCTAGCTGCACAACTCAAAAAGGGGGACTTGCACTATCTCTTTGAAAGTTTCATCTGCAAAAGGAAAAATGAACACCAGGAGGCTCCACCATCCATTTTCACAGGTACAGTTACTTCAAATGCTTTGTGCAACTAGGAGTAGTAGAGATGTCTCCAGGCCACACAAAGCTGTCATCTGATAGCAAGAAAGCTGGAATCCTGCAGTGATTCCTTACTGCCAAATTCAGGCTGAGATTGATGGAGAGAAAAAACCCAGCATTCAGTTCAGAATGGCTGTGAATATATTATTATTATTATTATTATTATTATTATTATTATTATTATTATTATTATAACATTTCTATACCCTTGCCGAAGCCTCGGGGCAGCTTACAACACAATAAAATACAATACAATATAAAAATAACAATATAAAATTAAAATTAACAATATAAAATAAATAAAAAATATAAAAGATATAAAAGAAGTTATAAAAGAAGTCACAAAAGACTTATTATTATTATTTTATATTATTTATTATCTTTATCTTTTCCTTCTCCTTGCTCCACAAAGCAGAAGCTATTTTTTTAAACCCAGTTTCCATTTTCCCCATCCTAACTAGAAGACTGCACATTAGTTTGTGGAACCCACTGATGGTTTTCTGAAAATAATCTGTGTGCACTTACGTATTTCTGTCCCTGTATGTATATAGCCACACATGGGGCATGTTCTTTTGCCACTCCACATCAATACTTCCACCACATTATCAACAGGCATCAGGTATTTTCTCCCTCCCATCATAAACACAATCCCAGGGCCAAATGACAAGAGTACAGAGCTACTCATTAGGGTTGGGACAAACCCTTCTGGAATCCATCCCTCCACTGTCTGCAGACTTCCTTTCATGCTCAGCCCACCCCTGCAAAGCGAGCTGAGCCAAGAGGAAGTCTGTGAACACTCATGGACTCAACTGTACAACCAGCAACCTTCCTCATGAGGAGCAGGGTGTGCAAAAGGGTTGCTGCAAGCAGGTGGGCCAGGTGCCTTTGCCGGCAAATGACCTGTTCCCCACTTGCTGCTGCCAGTGGGACCAGTGTGTAAGGGAAAGGGGTGCTGATTGCACAAGGTATGGGGTTTGATTCTTGGCAAATGCCCCACAAGCACTGGCTGTGCTTGCCAGGAACTCAGATGCTAGGCCACTGCAAAGCAGACTAGAGTCCAAGCCAAGCCCAGGAATTTGCTGATTTCTCCCCGCAAACAGATTCCTCCAAGATCACTACTACTCACACATACGCTGTGTTAGTACATCTCCCAAATGCAATTAATTACAGCTACCTTCAATGCAGTAAACTGTATTCAGAGTATTGTGCTGCAAAGCCAACATCACAAGCTTCTAGTGAGCTTCTCAAAAATGCATAGAGACATCCCATTTGCTATCTACCATGATTGTCCTTTCACCATCCATACCTGATATGTCCCCAGTCAACACCTTCAAAAAATGGATGACTCTTAATTTCCTCCACACCATTGCTACCAATTCTGTTCTCTGCATCAATGCAGAATCTGCAAAAGAAGAAAATAGAAGAAAAGGTGGTCAACAATGAAAAAAATATGAAGACAGGAATCCAAAGATCTCATTCCCAATGGGAATCACTGCAGCCTTTAGGAGACATCTCCTTTCACTCATGCCTACACAAAATTTTCCTCTCCAAGCTTTCAGGAAATTGAGATTTATGCTGCCTGCAAGGGACTACCACTTAAGAACAACCTTTTCCATACTTAAATGACACTGATAGACCCGCCTCTCCTCCAAGTCCGCCTGATGTACTTGAGGAACAGGAGGGAGGTGGTGGCTAACACATACACTTGACGATATAGGCAAACAAACATTGATGGATCCAGAAGACACCCCTCCAACATTTTCCAAAAAGGAGTGATGAAAATAAAATATTTCTAATCCTATTGCTGGAAATCAATCAATCAATAGTGGGCTAATAAAATGGATAACCCAACAAGTGCTATAAGTGTTCACTCTGCTCCAACACATTCCCTCCCCTTTTCCTCCTGTACTTGTACGGTGACCTGTATATTGACACTGTTAGCCATTTAGAGTCCGCTTCAGCTACTGAGTGGCATATGAATGTGAAAATAAATCAAATAAATAAATAAACAAGAGCAAGAGTGTACATTTCAACATTTTTTAAAAACTCATAATCCACCTAGCAACTTTGAGAATATTGTGAGGAGAATTAACTCCAGGCCCAAGACAATGCACCAAGTTTTCTCATGCTTTCAGTGAACAGGGAAATTAACAGGGACGTTGATTTTAGGGTTGCCACCACTTTTTAATGGGTTGATTACTGCTTTTCTTTCATTTTATGTTGCCTATTTTATACTGATGTCAATTTTTGTGTTTTCATAATACTTTATTACTGGAATCTGCCTTGTGTAGTTTTTATTTTTTGCAAAAATGAAGAGGCAGGCATCTGTGCAAATGCATCAACAGCTTTTCTAAAATCACCTAGTGGGTAATGGCAGAGATGTTCCTTGAACCAAGGGCTTCCTGGACCACTGCACTGGATCCTGTCGAGGATCTTGACAGGCAAGAAAATGGGACTCTTCTTCCCTAGTTTAGTCAGCTTTCAGAATTTATGCCAGTGAGGCCCAGTGAGTGGTCTGGGAGCTCCTGGTGTTGCAGTTGCTGGGTGAGTCAATGATCTGGATGGGAGACCACTGGAAGCTGCATGTGGAAAGGGGACACAAGGATAGATAAGTGCATTGAACACTGCCAGGTTTGATTACTGGCAGAGTCAAAGAAAATCACAATTTTTTAACATCTAAACACTGTATTCCCTCCACCTCTTTTGCATTCCACTTTAAATACATTCAGAACTCCCTTTTTTCTTTTTCTTGGGAGATTGGCCTGGCATCATCTTTATTTTCAACCACAGATGAAGATGAAAATCTTATTTATTCAGGAATTTTAGCTGTGTGTTTATGTGTGTGTGTCTGTGTTAGTATTTGGTCTGTGGTAATTTCTGCTGGAATCTATTAACTGCTATAGTTGAAGGTCTGTTAACAACATTTAAAATATAGATGGTTATGTTTTAGGCTGTTTCATCCCAACCATCATTTACTTCCCCATCTCAATGTCTTGGGTATGCTTTAGATGGTTCCATCCTAATCGTAATATATTTCTTCAGTTTGATTTCAATACACAGAAAAAAAATAAAGTCTAAAGTTCTTTCTGAAAGTCATTTCACATGACACCAAAATTCTGTACAATAGTGTGACAATTAAAACAACCCTGGACATTTAGCTACTCCTACACTTAGGGAAGATTCAGGATTGGAGCAATTTATTCCTAACAAGGGGACATGGAAGGCAGAGTGCAGAAAACATCCCTTTGGCTTGTGGCTACAGTGTCATAGCAGCAAAAAGAGGAGATTCAATTTGAACCAAGGGTGATTATGAAGGAGCAGTAAGACTGGCAACTGTAGATGAAGAGTCGATCACATGCTTTAAAACACATGGTTCAAGGTTCAGTGCTGTTTCATCAGGTGCCAATTAAGCGAATAGTGAACTAGAAGGACAATATTCTTGCCTATCTTAACACAAGTTGAGAACGTAAGAAAAGCCATGCTGGATCAGTCCACTGGTCCATCCAGTCCCGCACTCTGTCCACAGGATCCTTCAAGCAGGATAGGCACAAGACCTCCGCTGTCCAGGCTCTTCAGCAGTTGGTGTACACAGGCCTGCTGTCTCTGGTAATGGAGGCAGCACATAGCCAACAAGGCCATTGATAGCCTCCTCTTCCATGAATTTGTCTAATCACCTTTTAATGCTGTCCAAATTAGCAGCCATCAGTACTTCCTGTTGCAGGAATTCCTGTGGCAGTGAATTCCACCGCTGAAATTCATGTGAGCCTGTGGACTTCATAGCAACTTCTTCCATTCCTTCTTAATTGTTAAACAAAATAATTAGAAGAGCCTGGTTTTAGTAAACTGATGTCACAGAACACAAACACTGAGGTTCCCTCTCATTATCTCAGAAGGCAGACTACTAATTAATAGCACAGAAGCAAGCTCCCTTAACATAGCAGCACGAAGCAAGTTCTGACAGCTAAGACAACTATCTGGCATGGCAGTCCCTTTATGAATTATTATTTAATAAGTGCCATACAGCAATAGGCTAGAAGAATCTTCTATTAGCCATCAAATAAAAGAGAGCAGAAAACAGTTCCAAGATGCTGGAGCCTCCAAAAGTGGATGCCTGAGTTCATGTGGGAGGACTGCCAATTCAACAACCTTCCTTTTTGCTGTTCCATTTTTGCTGCTGTCATCAAGCAATGATAAAGTTCTGAAGGTGTCCCATATAAATTGTAATCTTTGTGGCAGCTGTTCCATACAACTGAAGTAGTTGTAGATATTGTCCAAGGTCACAAGCCCAGTCCCAGTAAAGCACTGTACCTATTTGTTTGCCCCACAGGCAGGAAAAGGCAATGGAAAAGCTTTTCAAAAGTCTGGAATTATATTATCTACTCACTTTAGAATTAAGTCCTTAGCTTTTTCTGAAATGGGCACCTCAGGTGGAAATACTAGTGTCTCTTTCCAATTCATAACTTTCCTATATGTTTCCTGTGGTGTTTCAGAGCAGAAAGGTGGATAACCTGTAGAAATGGACAAAAAATAAGAAGCAGGAGCTTTTTAAACGGTGAGTGACATAATAAAGGTTTTTCAAACACCTGAAGAGATTTTATATTCTTTTTTGGGGCAGCTCTTTGCACATCAACCTTAGACTAAAGGTTGATGGACCTGGTATTGCTCTGACAGAGGTTCTTATATCAGTTCTGAAGTTGTGTCCCTGGCTTGCTTATCAGAATCCTCACCTCAAAAACAAAAAGGTTTAATTTCCCTTAAAATTAAAAGGAAAAAAAGTAATACCAATAACTGTAAGTACCAATTGTGACCTCATTTGTCTAATTCTTGTTCTTATATAGCCAAAATAGCCACCTTTTGTATTTGGGTGGATTTATCAGTATGTTTGGGAAAACCTTGGAGTTTGTAAAATTACAAAAATTAACTGGAAATCAAACCATGGGACAAACCTCCCACAAAACATCCCAAAGAGGACTAAGTGAAAGCAGAATGCTCACTGAATCTGGGTATGCACACATGCAAAGGGTGGGGACAGAGACATGGAAAAACCAGAAGGGGGGGAATGGAATGGCTGGAAACCAGAGAAGAAGCCCTCTACCCAGCAACTTTTGCCCCAGGTTTCATTTGTTCTTACCTATTAGCATTTCATACATAATCACTCCCAAAGACCACCAGTCACATAATTTGTTGTAACCCGTTTGCATGAAAACTTCAGGAGCAATATAATCTGGGGTCCCAACAGTAGAGTACGCCTGAAAACAAAGATGATTTTAAAAGAGTTATTCAAGCAGCTCTTGAGTATTTCCAATGTTAAGCTATCTCCAGTAGAAAAAATATGCAGAATCATTCCTCTGCAATCCCCTTCTTCACTGATTGAGATGTAGTAGGGCAAAACATACATCTGTGTGAAGAATGCATTTTCAGCAAAATTCTCATGCCAAAAAATCCCTTTACAGAAAGAACTCAAACACAGATCTCCAAAAGAGTGCTTACCAGCTGTCGCCTATTTTTTTTCCATGTTTCTGCTTTTCTCTTAGAGTTCATATTCTGAAATGCTGGTTGATAAAAGAAACAGAGCAAAATGAATGACTTTAATTGTAACAAAACAAGAAACATTTATCCTAAGGGTCAATTCCAGTGCTACTTCTGCAGGATGGGAGTTAACTTTGGCAAGGTTAGTATCAGTAATATGAAACTTTTTTATTTTCTGGATGATGGATGGTATATAATTTTTAGAGTAAAGAAATATTTTTAAAAAACAGAAAAGAGCATCTAAAAACTAACTTTCCAATCTGCAGTATTAAGTGATACAGTCAAATCTACCTTCTCACCCTACTGCCACGTGGAGACCAAGTCTGATTTATGTGGGCTCACTCAAATTCTTTCTGGAGAAGCATGGAGGTTCTTATACTGAGTGCCCGGGTGTATGCCTCAGCTGACAGAGCACAATGTTCTGACTGAGTGTGAGCACTCATCAGATAAAGCCACATTTCTAAAGGGAGAGGCAAACTAGAGCCTAACCTTCTTCCTTCTACAGATTTTCTGTGGACTTTGTCCACTTCCAGTAAGAAACTCTGAATCAATCAAGATAATTGAATCAATCAATTATCTATAACTTAAGCTATAAGGTACAATAATCAAGGCTTCTCAGGCTGAGCAGAACAATCTAAGGTAGAACATGCTGTACTTACAGAAATCACTCGGTGGATTGTGTGTAAGGTTTCTGTAGAATTCAGTTCGGTGAGCTTTCTTTAAACCTGTGCATAGTCCAAAATCAGAGAGTTTTACATGGCCCTACAGAAAGAAAACATTACTTGAGCTTAACTAACAGAAATTCTTAGACAGTTTAAATTGAAAGTGTGTAGACAAGAAAAAGTCATATAAAAGGATGCATAATTCAACAGGCTGATTTCCATATACACCAACATTAATTGTTCATAGGAAGCAATGATTTGTACAATCGCTTAAGTAAACGAAAAGTGAATGGATTAGGAAAGAGGAAAATAATGACGCTTTCACACATGGATTGGGATCCAAATAGCAGCATGTGTGCACGTGCAAATCTTAAGTGCTTCCAAATATACAAACAGATTGATTTTTACTTCCAATTGCAGTTCTGGTGCTGTGCTGCTCACCACTACAGAAAGTCGTCTACTATAAACTTTCAGGAGAAGTATTTCAAGGGAAAGGAAGGAGGGAGCATGTGAAAGTCTCTGGATCTTGGTCATAACATTTTGACAAGCATCTGGTCTGCCAGATCATCTTTATACATGTAGGGGCTTTGGTAGTCCCTGTACTGAATGCCAACTGAAACCGGCAGCAAAGTTGTTTGGTACCTCTTCCTATTCTTATCCCTTTTTAAATTATTGCCTGGGCATTCCCCATCCCCAACTAAAAAAAATACTACCTCTTACCAGTCACTTGTAACATCAGATCATGAAAACATTTTCTTATGTGCTACAGTATTTAAAACTTGTACTGTAATCCTGTAACTTCCACATTCTGTAAATCCTACTGAATGCAAAAATATTTACTTCAGGGTGAACACAAGCTAGAACTGCCCTGTGCAAATAGCAGTTACTGTGGCACCTGCTAGTTTTTATGATTGTGCCATATGAACCTATTCCTTTATTGCTTTAAAAAAGGTGATTTCTCTTGTTTAAGCCTTCTATCCAAACAGCAAATACCTAGTACAATGGGGAGGATAGCTTGCAGCTCTGCAGATGTTCTGGCCAACAACTTTCATCAGTCCAAAGCAGCACAGCCAAGGAAGAGGGATTATGGAAGGTATGGTCCCTCAGATATTTAGGCCTAAAACTTGCAGGTTGCAATGATACACAGTCATTGATTAACTAAAACACCGCTGTGGACATGCCTGACAGATGATAATTCCTTGTCCAAGCCTTCTGTAATGAAGCCAGCATACACGCAAAACTTATGCTTTTATAAGGATAAGGTTTCAGTCCTATAACAAACTTAAACCTGGATGTGCCTGTGTTGTGAACTGTCAGCGGTCCTTTTGTCAACAGAGTATCAGGGTTGGAAAAAGTCTCAGCCATGTGCTTTTCAGCCACTTTGGAGCAAACTAAGTCCTAGCAAGCTATATGGGGTTTTTCTTTTCCAGCAGAATCATGGGCCACACCTTACTGATTTATACATAAAACTAGAATTTTAACTACTGGAGCTGAGAAGAGCTTGTTTTGCCAACTGCTTTCTCCAGCACTAACAAGATGTGAAGGGGACTGATTCTCTGTGCCAGCCCTGCCTAAACCCTCCAGGCTTTGGGCCCTGCTGATCCCATAGATCAGAATGAAACCATAAAATACAGCAAAGGTAAACAAAAAACCCATCACTAACCTTTGCATCCAGCAGTAGATTATCTGGCTTAATATCTCTGTGAATGAAACCCAGCTGGTGAATGGCATCAATGGCCAGCACAGTTTCAGATATATAAAACTGTGTTTCCTCCTCTGATAAGGTGTCCTTCTTCATAAGTAAGGTCATCATATCACCTGAGTCAAGGAGATATATTTACAGTCAAAAGCTTTTGAAAATGTAGAAGGTGATACAATGATACATGCTTCACCTGTTCCCATAAGCAACACAACTCTTCAAAACAGATTTACAAGGCCCTCTTCATCAGGCATGGGTGTGGTGGTGGGGAGATCCCAAACTTTTATACAGTCATTTCTGTGTATATACTTCAAATTCCCCTGACGTGCAAAACCTCCAAACATGCATACATTCGTCTGAATAGTTTGTTTCTGTTTGTATTGCTAGGTCAATATATACAAAGTATTTCCCATCCTTTAACTGTGCTTGAGATTAACAAAGACTACAGACCTAAAAGCACTTTCCTCAAGTAGGGCTCTTAAGCTGGATGGAATAATGTAGATTTCTATCTGCCTAAGCTAGATTATTTACCTACCTCCAGGTAGAAACTCCATGATCAGGTAAAGATTATGTTTGTCCTGAAAACTATAAAACATCTTCACCACCCAGGCACCATCTGCTTCAACCAGGATATCTCTTTCTGCTCGTATATGAGCCACCTAAAGTAGGAGTATTTTGAAACACAACAAAATGTTCATGTATTATTTTTCTACATAAATCACCAGGAGATCTAATAAACAAACAAACAATCAGGAGATTTATCATACTGCTAGAAACCATAAGGAAGTCTTTCCTAACCTGCTACTCTCTAGATGCAGGTCACTACAACACCCACCATCCCCAGCCAGCATGGCAGGTTGAAGAAGTAAGCATACACACACTTTCTCTTCTGCAAAAGAAATTTGTGATTTGGGTTTTTAAAATCATCCAGAACAATTCAAGATGCACAAGTTCCACTAATGTCATTTATCTCCATGCTTTGATGCCACTGATCTCCATTTCAAAAGGTCTTGTGCATTGCCCCATCCCTTCAAGACAATACAAGGCAGAACAGCTGTCAGATCTTAATAATTCATTAAGCTTGAAGTCCACTCCACAATATGGAGATTTTTTCAAGTCCTGAACATGCTCATCTGAATTTGCGCAGTGTTCGGAAGTCAAGCTACAAGGTCCTTAGTTATGGCTTAAAATGCAAGTTCCCAGTAAGTACTTAAAATGACTGGCTTTTTTGTGTGCTGGCATTTTTGTGTAGGGATTTCTCCAAGCACACCTGCTGCCTGGGAGAAACTAGCAAATGCTTCCCATTTCTCAGGGGGGTTATCTGGCCCAGTTGCTGTCTCTCAGCCTAGCGTATGCTTTTCTAGTATAGAATAATGTATTCTGTTGCATTCATACTTTGCCTTCCTCCAGGTTTGCCTATTTTCATCCTCACAACAATCCTCTGAGGCAAGTTAGTCTGAAAGGTGGCGACTAGCCCAGAGAAGCCAGAGAAATGTGACATCTTTGCTAGTCTTTCTGAGGCAGCAAAATGTCCTGGGCCAGCCCTGGAGGGGTATAAATGTGCACATGTGCAAGCGTGAGCATCCATCCTGTTTCTTTCTTGAATTTGTGTATATATGAGAGATATCTTCTTTATATTTTCTGTACTGAAACTGAATGTGAATGTTGTAGAAGGGAAAACTTGTGTTTGAATCTTCTGTCATGGAAGAGATAATAATCTTGGGAGCCTGGGACACGATTTCCACTAAAATATGTAGCAAAAAGGTTCTGTTGTTGTTGTTACAATATATTGTTGATTTTGTGATAGTGTATGCACACGTGTCATGCGTAAATTCAATATCAGGGGGCAGAGGAGAGGGCCCTAGCCTCAGTGCCCATCATGGCCTTGATCCAGCCCTGGTAGCAATATGCTGTCAATATACACTTAACTTAATATTGCATATATTATCATTTGTTTTGAAGCACCTAAAGATATGCTAAAGAGATACGTACCTGTTCTTTCTCTAGCATATCAGCTTTCCTTAGTATCTTCATTGCATAAATATGACCCGTATCTTTCTTTTGAACAAGGCGTACCTGTGGATAAATTTGTTATTGTTCAAGTAAACTCTTGAGTCTGCAACACTGAAGGAAAATGCAATGCACTGGTTCTTTAACAGCAATTGCAAAACTGAGTAACAAGGAGCATGGACATAACAGGCAGTCAATATAGACACCTGATCTAGGCTACTACAGTCAAGAACATTCCTGAGCCTCCGTCATATTAGAAGTGAAGTCTCCAAAGAGGTCTGAGGAAATACGAGGGGGAAGCGGACACAGGAACTGCTTTATCAAATGTGTAACACATTTTTAAAAAATAATTTCAAAGGGATGTCTTGAAAATCTTAGGGGGAAGTACAATAAGAAACAAATAATTCTGAACTCATTACTATGTACTGTTCCACCCAATGCCCTTAGTCCCTTACTTAATATCAATGAGTTCCTTCTGTGATACTAATTTTGACAGGAAGATATCCTGAAATAAATATCCTCAGAAGAACGTATAAATTACAAACCTCTCCAAATGCGCCTCTTCCGATAACTTTCAAAGATTCAAAGTCATCCAGGCCTAACCTCGTTCTCTTCAGACGTAAAAATTCAGTTTCTTTGCGGGCATGCTGAGATCTTCTTAGCTTTTTCTGAAGAAAAGAATTGCATACTAAACATGGTAAAACCTGAAACGAGCATAGTGCTTTACAAATAGTATAAATGAGTAATCTATTTACAACAGTATTGTAATAGTGTTCCCCAAACAGAAGAGGGGGGAGATTTAGTTCCCTCTAGCCTCAGCAGTAGTGGGGAACCCAAGGACGCTCTACCCCAAAGGCAAATGGGCTCTCCCAGAGGATAATTTGACTGACTTCCAACTATCCAGTTGAAGCCCTGTGGATTCTGACTACCTAGAACCCAGCCTTCTCCTTGGGATTCTGGAAACTGCAAGCAGTGCGGCAACAGGGACAATGGCAAAGCTCAAGTGGAGGAAAACTCATGGCTGAGTTTCCTGGTAGTAACAGCAGCAAAGCTATTCCTTTCAGTATGTCAGTAAGCTTCATCCAGCAGAGCTTTTCACAGGGGTGAGGGCATTGCTTCAGCATATCTGGAGTTGTGCAGAGTGCCTCGTAGATTTAAGCACACACACACCATTCAGATGTATCTCAATCAGGAGCAAAATGTGCAGTAGAGACATCAAAGACCTCTCATCATCTGATTCTACTGGATGCGTTTTGGTTGCCAACAATCACCACTAGCCATTTGGTTGGTGAGAGCTTGTTAAAGGAAGTCACTGAATACAGCTGTTGCTATCACAAATCATTACAAAAGAAATCTGCCTCAGGGTCCTAGGTAATGGGAAATATGGCCTATTCCAAAAACGTGCTATTCCTGGCCAGGGTGGCTGAATAAACAAGGGCTCTGGTGTAGACTGGGAGGGCTGCTGCTATTGAGACTTAACAGTAGTGGAGGGAACTAGACCTGTGAAGAGTCAGTGGTCTGTGAGGCAACTTCACATGATTGTATTTTAAAGTCTTCATGCCCTGCATTTAGCAGAAGCAGGTCTACTGAGATTTTGAAGGCTGCCTACTATTATACAAGCAACTAAATAAAAGTTGGTTGTTCGCTCTTGAACACATCACAAAGTACTCTGAAAGACTGCTGCCACTTCTGCAAGGTGGCAATATAGTTTTATCACTTATTGCCACAAGATGACACTGTATATCCACTTCCAACTTTCACAAACTCTATTGCAAAGATAACCAGTCTTCTGTACATAGCAAGTAACATTATGAACCAGTAACAAGATGAAATTTTAAGGTATAATCCTATGCTCAAACAGAAAAATTCTACAACTGCCAGCATTCCACAGTCGACATGGCTAGCCAGGGACTGCTGAAAGTTGTTAAGTTTTTTTTCTTCCTAAACATGCATAGGATTGCACTCTCAATTGCACAAAACAACTGGTAGTTAGTGGGTATAATTCTCACCCCACTGTAATATAAAGATTTGATAACTAGTTCATCTAATGTTCAGACCAGAAATAAAATCAAGTAAGTGCAAAAATGTGATGCTTATGTGACACCTATGTAGGGTCAAACTGGCAGACACAGGAAATCCTGAGGCATCTTCTGCTAATTATCCTGTACAAATAACTTGTGTTTCCTAAGCAAATATTCCTAAGGGTTCAAACACACCCTTTTAAGTTACAAACTTAACATGTTTTTATTCCTCTCATAAATTCTTCATTTTATGTACTCAAGAGAATGTGAATGTCAGTTTAAAAAGTATAAATAAAGAAGGGTGTGAAGTCTTTCAAGATGCTAAAAGTTTGTATCCTGCATTACATTGTAAAATGTTTTATGCTCATTAAGGAATTGCTTATTTAGCAAGTCAATGCAAGATAATATCCTGTACACCAGGTAAGTTAGGAAGGGGATGCAGACTTACTAGGTTCAACCAGAGTAAAACAGTACAGGTTTAAATATAAAGGGTTATTTTCCCATTCAAAGCAGTCATTACCAATCACTTTGTTATTGCTTACTGTACACTCAACACAGAATATGGACAGAGCTATTGTTTCTTTAATAGGAGCTGCACTCTTTTTTCCCTGTTATCAAATACCAGAATTTTCCAGAATTTCTTCTCTATAGCCCTGCTCTGAAGCCAGAAAACCTATTTTCTGCATAATTCTCTGCTGGGCACTTGCTTCTTCTTGCTTCTGTTCACTTTTTCCAGGCAATGAGGTTTGAAGAAAAACTGCTCGTGTGCACACTCATGAATCATTAAGTACCAATCCTGAGCAATAAATCATAAAAGCATCCAGCTTTAATTGCATTTGTATTACCTCTTCGTCTGCTAAACCTTCCTCTTCCATGGCTACTTCTAGTTTCTTCTGCCTAGGTTAATACATAAAGCCCACATATTATAAAACAACCTACATTTTATAATACAAAAGTGCTATTTTACTTCACTTCAAATCACAGCAGTAAGAAAACTAGAACAATCAGAAAGCCAGAATACGAAATAATGATAGAATACTACGTTCTCCTCTTTTCCTCCACTTTTCAGTGCTGTCCACTTCCAGAACTATGAAAATTGAAGGAATTTAGGGGGGACATCAGCTCTGTCTCATTCCACAGACAGAAGCTATTCAATTCATGGGATGAGGTTTACAACAGACTGCTGCTCCTCACCCAGGATTCTCATTCATACATCCAAAGAACTCCTCTTGGATTCTCCCTTTTCCTCCTGGGAAGCAGCAGTGGGAAAGACAGTAGCAAGACTATTATGGATAAATTTCTGAATTGCATTTCCCAGCTTCCTTGGTGCTAATTCAGAAACAAGAGAATGGAGGAAAGCAACATGATGTGGACAAGGCAGAAGGAGACCACTTCCATGTTGTGTACCTTAACTTTCTTCCTCCTTTCATTCAAAGAATGACAAGGCATTTTTCTAATCACTGACACTTCCTAAGCAAATTATTAGCACTTAAACATAAGAGGAAAGTTATACAAGAGCTGAGCCACTAAATAAAAGAAGGGTACCTTTCAAGACCCTGGTTCTTCCTTTTAGTTAATTTATTTGTTACTGTTTTTCTTATAGCTGCTACATAATACAGGTTTTCTAGATAGTTCACAAATCAATACAATAAAAACCAGTGTAATTTACCAGTGTAAACTAAAATGAAAAAAAAAATGAACACAGATAATTTGAAACCAACTAAAGCCATAAGGCATGGGTAAGCAACCTGTGGTTTCCAGATATTTTGGCATACAGTTCCCCTATCCAACATAGCTATTGTTGAGAGGTGATGGGAGCTGCAGGCCAGAATACTTGGATGGCCACTATTTGCCTACCCCTGCCATAAGGCAAATGAAAGGCCTCGATTGAATACACCTGGCTCAAGAAGGATGGTGCAAGGTGATCCTTCCTGGAGGGGCTGCTCCATAATCCCATGAGTCCTCCTCCCATGAGCCCACCCACCTTGTTTCACTTCATAATATGAATCTTAAGATTCAGGAGAAGGCAGGCTTTTCAGGCAATATAGTGCCAATTGGTTTTGGGCTTAAAGCCAACACTTTATCAATTGGGTCTCAAAACAGACTGGGAGCCGAAGTAGCTGATGAAAAACATACAAAATGTGGTTGAAATGTCCAATCCCATATAATACTCTTGCAGACTTTTTCTGGACCAGCTATAGTTTCTGACCAAGCCTATGTACAATGCATGGAAACAGACTAAATGGGTGGTTCCCACAACACCAGTGATTACAGCTTAGCTATCTCTATCCAGAAAGCTTAAAGCTTCCATATCATTAAAAAGAAAAAATGAACACGTACAATATGCTTTGTCAACAGAGGTTTTTGCAGAGTTCTACCAAATGCAGCTAAGAGTTCTACCAAAGCCTCTATCAGATTCACATGGAGGAAAGAGAGTTAACCAGTACAATCTAAACGTGTGTACTTGGAAGTTAGTTCCACTTCCAGATTCATGGACTGAACCTAAAGATTACTCCTATTAAATGTTGTTTGCCAGGTGAAGCTGCTTTCAGTTTTGAGAAACACTCTTACAAACATTCCCCAATGTAATTTCTTGCCTATGTACAGAAATGCTGAAATTGTAAACTCAACACTCATACCTGGTTTCTCTTTCCTCATGCTGTAAAATTAGGTTACTGTAGAAGTTTTCCAGTGTGAGCTTGGCCACTGTCACTCTCTCCCGGGTGTGGTTGCTCATGGGAAAAGATGTTGGAGTCCCTGCAGTCATTGCCATAGTAACATGTACTGAAAAAGAGCACATAAAATAATAATTAGTCAACAGAAGAAAATTTGTTTCCCTTGACCAAAAAATAGAAACTCATGATGAGGAACACAGACTGCTGTACAATATTAACTTTGTCCTGACTGATTTAGCCATGCAAGATGTTGTATTACTTATGGTCCTAAATCTGAAAGGAATACAGAATGAATCACACAGGAAACCTTTTTGCTTGGTACATGCAATGAATACTGATGTTTTCACCCTGTGCCAACCAGACCAACCTGTATATCCTGCAAATGCAGGAATGCAACACAGATCACAATGTATTTCTGTTACACAGAAATATCTTTTGCAAGTCAGTCATCACACACCTAAGTCATAAGGTGCTGAGACACATGAAAATGTTGGAAAGCTCCAAGTTTACAGTACAACTGCAGACAAGACTGCCAGTATGTTCAGGTATCATCTGCACCCCAAACAAGCAGGGTCTGCTTCTATAAAATCCAAAGCCATGCAAACGACAAAGAAGTTTAAGGTGTGTGAAAACTGTGAAGTCAGATTTATGCAGCCCAAGACAGAGGGCCTCTGAAAGAATTTCTGGAGTGACCTTTTCAGTACAGTCTTGTTCTAAACTAGGAGCATGCTGAACAATTATCTAAAAACACATAAAATAAAGACTTTGCTTGTCTTTCTGCAAAGTGAGCAAAAAAAGCCAAAATCCAAGTACACTGCCACTCTGGAGACTCTGGATGCTTTGTATTAGACCAACAGAAAAGCCCACAGCAACCTACAGTTTCTATATCTAATAGGTGCTGAAGACAAGTGTGGGCTAAAATCCTGTTTTGAGTCAGATGGTGAAACAACCCCTCTATTACAAGACCAAGAGTATGTTAAATAATGTTTGTACAAGACAGAAAGCAACCAGAGGAAGTCTCCCCTAGTAGCTGCAATTAAGTGTACAATCTCTTGCATACATGCACAATACTTTATTACTTTGCTTTACCATGTGAAACTGGCAGCCATTGCAGTCTGGTGCTTGAACTCATTTAACCAAGAGACTTCAAGATAATAAGATTCTCAGTAAACTGAGATAAAGCCTAAGCAGGAAATGGGTACAAATTCAGGCAACTCTAATATTTATTCTACAGAATGTTCCATTTTTGATAGGACATATAAAATTAAGGGTTAGGGTTAACCATAAATTCTATAGACTGAACTTGCTAACATTTCAATTCATCTGTGTATGGCAATGGGGATAGTTTCAGGTGGTACAAGTGTACAAACAAGTGTTACAGGTGTACAAACAGGTGTTACACGCAAGATTAACGCACAGCAGTACAATATATTCCTCTATGCAAGTCACTCCTCAGACACGCAGCAGTGGAGGGGCTGCTGAACATGTATGCAAGAACAGCAGAGCTTATTATCATTCTCTTCAACATCACCGATTGAAACGTTTCCATAGTGTTAGGGCGTTACCTCTCATAAACCACAAGCAGTGCTAAGAAACCACAGGCTGCACTTTTAAAGGTAACGAGATAGCAATGATTTGCAAGCAAAATCATATTTTGGGTTTCCCATCTGCTGTCTGGTTCTAAAATGTCCATATCTACATTAATAGGGAGTTAAATTTCCCTAAAGCAGCC